CTGGTCCTCGGACTAAGGAGGAACACTCCAAAGAAGAGGACTCCAGTACCGCTGAAGAATACACCCAACTGCCACGATTGCATAGCCACAAATTCTTTGAATACAATACCGCCAGATAACATGGTAGAAAGGGTCCAACAAACTTGTGTTAGTGGTACCAGGAATGCTCCCGGGAATATTCTCAGCGCTCGGTTGAGATGAATTACCCAGAAAACAGCCGCGAAAAGCCATGCGAAGAGCACTAGGAATGTTCTACCCTGGTACAGCTGTGAAACTTGGCCACCGAAAGCCTGGGTCACTATGAGTGATAGCACTTTGCCCGACACCACGGACTGGGCCCCTACTGCTGCTACACAAAAGGTGTACCCGCTGGGGACTAGGAAGCGGGTAACTCTATTGTGGGATCTTGGCAAGGAGAGCTCCCACTGTATCCTCTTGGGCCATTTGGAACGAGTAAACCACAGAATGGGAGCACCAGTCCTCATCCAAAAGGCAAAAGCAATGAAGCATATAAGCAGCAACAATCCCAGCACAAAGTAGCCGTGAGTCGCCGAAAAGTAGAAATCGTTGAACATTTGGTCAACGTTGTTGATGGCCTCAGACTTGGTCGAGGATACCACCAGCATGACTATTGCTCCAATGATAACCACTGTACCGCAAACGTTGAAGACGGTGAAGGGTTCTTGGAGGAAGTAGTGCACGAAGAAGAGATTGGACACGAACTGAATCGCAGAAATACCACTCAACAAGGACTGAGGGGCAAATGCAAAGGACCCGAAGGTCAGAACGGAGCCTATGCAAAAGAGGATCAGCCCTATTATGAGGGAGTGCCCTTTGCCGTGCTTCACGGCTGTATGGTACTTCATGAGAACAGTACCGAAATTAGTGGTAATAGCACCAACAATGTTAACCACAATGCCGATGACGAACCGAGAAGTGGACATCGGGTCTTATTGGAACTTGGGGAGTGGTCGGACCAGCAACGTGGATGGAAAGTACTCAACTACAACTGCTGAAAAACAAATCACGCTCAACGCGGCAACAATTTGGCCCATAACTCCTTATATTTTGCCCTCAGTGTTTTCGTCATGTCCACGTAACTACGTCGAGACTACCTCCTCTCCGAGAGAGGGAAAGAGAATTGGTGTATTCACAGCCATTGCGTTCCCTAGCACTATGGAAATTGCTACCCTTCCCATGGTCATGACGTTACTACCGTCTACACTGTATGGTCGGGCTACTCTTCAACCTAGGATCGTCATAAAGCTCCACCCTATGCTGTATAATAACGATGACCAGCCAATAATGGTGCGGTACGACGAGCACAGGTACACCGCACAGGCCGGGCACTTCAGGGCTCAGCTTCACGCAACACGAACAACAACACGCAAGGATGGTCGATTGTTGTGGCGAGCGCTCTCGCCAAGGGACAGAGAGACAGTTGAGCGGAGGTGGTGCGGTATACCCTATGTGCTCGGAGCATGGAGATATCGATGCCACCTCCTCGACACTAGTTCCAATACATTATGCTGAGTCTCGAATTTTCCCTGGCAGCGTGAGTCACCGACACTTGACCAACTTCCCGCGCGATTAAGCAGCACACTGATGTGACACGTCAAAATGTCACACTCGGAGTGAGTGAGACGATATGGTATATCCTATGCGCTTGGAATGCTCGAATTGGGATGCCATCGATGAGATGCCACTCTCACTGGGTCACGCTGAATCTCGAAATCGACCTAACAATCAGAATCTCCTACGGTAAACAAATGTAGGGTATACGCACTCGTATGACACGATGAATATACTGTGTTTCGCGCTCGCCATAATAATGTGTCCGGGACACAGTGTCCCCTAGCTCAATACCGTTGTCCCATTCTTAGCTATTTATACGTTTAACAAGGTTGATGAGAAACTGTCATATAATCAACATATGTGGGGAGGACCAGATCGTGTGGCTCCTAACTTAGGAGTCTTAGGAGTCCTAAGACTCAGTTGCACACGTAGGCAACAACACAGAAAGATTATCGACTGTTATGGCGAGCGCACATGCCGGGGGACAGAGAAGTGGTTAAGCTCTATCTATTACTGCCCCTTGGTTGTGTTCTATCGACAAGTTGCTCGAGAAGTTGCTATATCATCGTATTGGTACACGACATCCTTTGGAATTTGGATGCAATCGATGGGGTCCAAATTTTTGGTTGTAGCCTGTACAGTAGATAAATGTAGGAGGACACACGCACTCGTATTGTCGCGGCACCGAATGATCTGTTATTATTATCGGGCGTGCGCGAAATGCTCCAGTGAGTAACGGCAGGCAGGAAGGCCAGAGGATAGATATATGAGGCTGAGATTAGGTGTTTGAGTTATCATTGTTGCTAATTAAATTGATATTATGAGCATGTGAGATAACTCCGTAGCCATCTGGCTCAAGTCTGTATTTTTACTCTCCATTTTCACATGAGTACTAGTCGCGTTGAGGAACCGTCCAAACCAACCGAGTCGGCCGACCGTAACATGGTGACAGCTGGTGGCGGTTCGACGCTCAAGATGGACGACGCGGATAGCAAATCCGAAGCGGCTAGCAGTACCATGGGAGCACTCTTAAAGGATGAAGAGTCCTACAAGAAAGAGCTCACGAAAAGGAGAGTCCTACGAGGCAGATTGAGAGGCAAAATTCAGAAGGTCCAAGCGGCGATGGAATGCATCATCGTACCAGAGGACCAGGAAACCACTGAAGAGCTGGCGACATTAGAGATACAGGAGAGTCTTCTGCACGATCAACTTCGGAGAGCAGAGAAAGATATCGCAGAGTTACAGGAGCTGAGACAAGGAGTGGTGTCCGAATTGGGGAAGGAAGAGCACCGCTCTAGGGCATCGCGATCGGTTTTTTCTTATGACGCTCGTGATGGTACTTCTACTTCGGAGGTCTACTTACCTACGGTATCAGGAAAGGAGAAGTTTCATCAGTCCGAAGACGAGATCAAACCAAGAACTGAGAATGCGGACCACAAGGACAACTGCGGAACGAGAGACTCAAGGACAGTCCCAGGTAGGGGGGAAACTCGCCGCGCTAGCGTAGTAGTCGCGAATGCATCTCCAAGATTGTTAGCTGAAATGCCAGTGCCACAGAGTCTCACAAATGAGGGTAGGGATTATGGTGTGTCGAGCCAGAGGGGATATGTGCGACGGGAACCCAGAGTAGGGATCAATACACAGGGGGTTTCGAAGTTAGCATTGCCACAGTGTGAGGATATCCTTGATCTAGATTCTCATTTTGAGGTTGTTGAGGGAATTTTACAAGAATCTGGGGCTGGTAGCTATTCAAAGGGCACTGATGCACGGTTACTGTTCAAAGTACGTGATGATATCCGGATTCCGGATGGCATGTGTGGGAAAACTACTTACCACTCTTCCGTCGGGAGCAGTGAGGGACTGTGCGAAAAGAGCGGCTCAGAGATCCAAGTATTGTTGGGAGAGAATCAAAGATCAGCTACGTTGTCGATTTTGTAAGAGAACGGCGATAATTGGGAACATCCGAGAGTCACTAGCAAAGCTCAGCTATGGGGGTCCTGGTAAAGTAGATCAGTTCTTGGACTCGGCTGAGACGATTGTACTTCGGTGTCATAAGGCGTATAAGGATAAGAGTGAGATGTTCAGGGTGGTCAGAGCGATAGTGAATACCTTGCCAAGTGGAGTAGCGGAGAAAGTGATCTCGGAAGTGAAGAGGGAGGCGAGGTCACAGCGTGGCTCTTACAGAGACGTCAGTGAGGAGGATTGGGAGACACTTTTACCTTTCTCTCTGGAGGTGGGAGATGTGATTACGGACGGTATCACAGTGGTGGACATCATCAGAGATGTCAGCAGGACCTCTGAGGACACCACCAGGAGAGAGACGGACAAGGTGGCGCTAATAGCTCAGCCGACGAGTCAGCAGGGGGTTGGGATGGCGGTATCACAAGGATCGGGTAGTGCAACTTCTCCACATCCCCCAAAGCAGTCACTGGAGTCATGGGCAAAAGGTTTCAAAGCTTCGTTCGTTGTCACAGTCAAGGAGTGGAACGAACAGGAGATAAAGAAGACTTTCCAACCAGATGACTGGAGACCTTTGCGTAGTAGAGGAAAAGGCCAGGGGCAGAAAGTCGGAAAGGTGGTTGGGGCAGTCGTGGGATATAGCGATGAGGTGACCTTATTGAGGTCAAGGGCAAGGCGTTGATGGCCAAAGTCGCAGGGGATGACCAACTGAAGCAGAAGTTCAGGGTAAGACCTTTTGTTTTCAAAAGCCAGGGAAACGGGGAGGGCCGAATGTGATTCGTGGATATCGCGTTGCGGCCTTAGATTCATCTTGCTCCACATTAGATAAAGGAGGTAGCCAAGGGGAAGGCTTTCCTGCTCTAGATAAGATAGAGGAGGAGGAAAAGATAGTAGTAGAAGAAGTAGTCAGGGAAGAGCTGGATGATAAAGTGTGCTTGATCTACTTAGAGGTTCCAGTAGAGTTACAGGTCAGAACCGATATAGTGAGTGCAGTAGATCCGAAGTATAGAATTTTGGGAGTGAAAGGGACGATAGACCCAGGAGCGGGACGCACATACTTATGTTTACCGAAGGATAGAAGAGCGAGGCGAGATTGCATACCAACTACTAAGGTGGCGAAGTGGGCTAAGCTGGCGGATGGGAGCCGCACAGCTATCACCCAGGAGGCCGAAGTATACCTTACCTTATGGCTCGAAGGGGAGACAATCACTGCTGGACCTCATATAGTCCGAGTGTTGTACTCAGAGCAGATAGAGGACGAGGTCGGTCTGCTAATAGGCAGGGATATTGGCAGCAGAGTGGGATTGCAGTTGGACCTAGCAACGGGAACGGTGTCTCGATCGAAGAGAACCATCAGCATGGATGGAGAAAAATTGGTGGATGATTGTGCAGCAGATACCATTGATGTGGTAAGGTACGTGCAGGACAATGTGATAAGATATCTTGATACTCCGGGAAAAGGACAAGGAGTAGGAACTCAACCATCACCTCAGGGAGAGGGTAAGATTATTTTTCCAGTGCTTCCACCACAGGAACGGGAAGTCGCCAGAGTTGCTGTGTCGACGCTTGTGGGAAAAGGGGACCTGGAGGATGAGGGCCTTCGAGAATACAGAGTGTCTTTCAGGAAGTTGAGGGGAGACAGCCGGGCAGACTGCGAAGGGCAGGAAGCGGCGGTGTATATAGATCTCCCGAAGAGAGACGATAAGGCGATGAGAGAACTTCGTGTACCCAGATATGAGAGGGCTGCGTACAATAAGCTCTCAGGGACTCATCAACGGGTGTACCAGGATCTGGTTCAATAGTTTGTAGCGAGAGGGTGGTGGATAAGGAGATCGGAGCTGAAAAGCGAGGAGCACTCTCAAGAGAGGGAATGCCTGCCAGCATCTCCCATCTTTCTCACACAGCTAGAAAAGAAACCACGACTTGTCTTGGATTGTAGAGGAGTCAATGCGAGTCTGGGAGGAGTATCATCGTCACGACGGGCAACGTCAGATATACTCATTGCGGTGCGACTCAACGGTGAGGATATGATTGTTGCAGATCTCCAAAAGGCATATTATAGATGCAGGCTCTTAGCGCACTGGGTGTTGCTTGCCCCGCGATAGGGGAGTTTGTGTCGGATAGAGTGGCCTTCGGGCTGCATTTTGGAGCTGGTTGTCTCCAGGGGGCCGTCAAGGAGATAGTGGCGACGATGTTGGAGTTGATGAGAGAACTTTCATGGGGCCAAAGATTTGTATTCTTGTTCATTCTCTTCTACATGGATGACATTGTCATTCAAGGTGGAGGAGTGGAGGGGATCGTCAGGGCGTTTTCCCTTCTGTTTACGATTCTGAGGTACCTGGGATTCGTGGCACAGTGTGACAAGTTGTGGGCGGTAGTCAGGCCAGGAAACGGGGAACAGTTCCGACAGTATTGCGAGAGATATAGCATCTCTATTCCTTTGAGTGCGGAGGGCACTTTATTAGGGGTGGGGATCTGTCTGGAAGATGAAAGGATGCTGATTGACTGCAAACTGACGCAGAGGTGGTCGACAGTAAGAGAGTTTCTGAAATCCTCCACTTGGACAAAAAGTGGTACATTTGCGTGTGCGGGAGCGTTGGCTCATGATAGTGTCCAAGGGCATCCAACACTCAGGCTTTTAGGGGATGTATTACGGGCCATAGTGGGGAAGAGTTTTAGTAGCCTTCCGTGGGATAGGGAGTTCACATTGCAGGACATGAGCGAGGGAGTTCGAATGGTTTTCGAAGAGACTAGGAAATGGGTGGCAGAGAAAGAGCCGTCCCTAAGCTGTATGCATATATCATCTCTCCAGGGGGGAGAAGAAAATATGTTTTTGGTTCTGGAGACCGACTAATCATTATTAGGGTGGGGGTTCAGCCTGTGGGCGACCAGACAGGAGGGAATCTTTGAGTACCTTTCGGATAGTAAGGGAAGTTGTTTTGAGATTTTGGCATCCGCAGGGAGGTGAACCAATAGAGAAGCGGTGTGGCACTCGAATAGGCGAGAGTTGAGAGCGATGTTCGAAGGGGTGAGTCGAACAGCGAGATTTCTGGGATATTGGAGAGGCTCACACCATAGACTCGGCACACAAGGCACGTGTAAGCTCTCAATCAAAGGTGATAATTTCGCTTCGATCCGCTGGTGCAATGAGAATCCCCCTTGCAAGGCACTGGAATTGAGATCGATCGTTAGGCTCGCTGATGCAATAAAAGAGGAAATCAGTTTCATAAGAAATAATTGTGACGTGGTTGTTGAGATCGAACATCTCCAAGGCTGTCGAAATACTAGAGCGGATGAGTTGTCTCGTCTACTACAGAGGAAATGTGCTAATGGCGTTCAGATAGGAAGAGCTCTACAGGAGTATCTAGATGAACCTCTCAGCGTGGCGCAGGCAGTGGATGATATCGTGGGCAGACTAGGTGAACTACCCAGCTCTGCCGACCGATTGTGTTATGTTCCGGAGGAAACATCATCGCACGGTCGGAGAGGAGGGGAATGTCCGAGTCTTGCGGATGAGTTGGCGCTGGTATCGTACGATGTCGATGCGGCTCTCCAAGTATGGAAAGCCCTACGTTTCTCCTTCATCTTGTGGAGAAGAGCGGTTGCGGGGTATCCACTCTCAGATGTGCAGTATCCAGTGGCATATCAGGAAGAAGACAAGATATCTTTTTCGAGATCGCTGCAGCTGGGATGGGCAGATGGAATGGATGCCAAGGCACTCCGATCATTGGTATGCATAAGGATTGATGATGATGGCATAGCACGCTATCTGATTAATGGCGCAGATGGGGCTACCAGTTGGGCGTTTTATGTACCAAAGATGAGGATGGGTTTCAGGCGATTACTCATTCGTAGTGCTCACAGGAAGCTGCGGCATGCGAGCCGGAATGCCAGTGTAGAGAGAGCGATAGAGTTTGGTTTCTTCGCACCGTCATTGAAGCGACTTGCGAATGATGAGCTTGCAGTATGTGTTACTTGTCAGCTCAAGAATGCCAAGCGGGAGTGGAGAATATCGCCGGGGCTCTCAGGGGCGGGTATCTCGGATCTTTCACCAGAGAATCTATTGAGAGCAGGTAAGGAACCCTTTTATGCTGTGTCGGTGGATGCCATTACGTTGGGATCGGGTCTGCTCTATCTGTCTGTGGTCTGCCTCATGACATATAGCGTGGTGTGGATCACCATACCAGATCAGACTTCCTCAAGTATTGCGGCAGCGATCAGAAGGGCTCAGAGGAGAGAAGGCGGATTCGCAGTGGTGGTAGCCGATAATGCGATTGCCAGGGATTCAGTGGCAAGGGATCCTGAATTAGCGGGATGGAACATTCATTTCGTTCCAGCCAATCCCCGAGCACCGTGGACTACAGCGGCAGAAACCCATCACAGGAGTGCAGTGCGAGCGGCCAGAACAATTCTGAGACAATATAAGGTGTCGGATTGGAGTGGAGACTCTATGGCGGCACTCAAACAGGATCTGGCGGATGAAATCGCGTGGACACTCAATAGATCTCCCTTATCATCGGCGGATATTAGTGACCAAGGATATGTCAAGGCATTGACAGCGGATGATCTCAGATTTGGTTATATCCGCAGGGAGGGAGGCGGAGCTGCGCTGATGGATAGCACCCAGCAGGTAGGGGAGGATGTCGAAGGGAAATGGCAGCGTCGTAGGGAAGCGAATCTGCGGCGATTTTTGAACGATTTTTGGCCGGAGAAACGCAGGAAGGTATTGGAGTCACTGGGACGAACACCATCAGTAAGTAAGGACTTTGCATTCCGAGTGGGAGATCCAGTGATGATATACCAACCAACGAAGAAGCACAGCATGTTGTGGAGAACTGGATTCGTGGTACGGGTTCTGAGCACTCGTCGCTACAGAGTCAGGATCGTCGGAGGTAAAGGTGAGCGCTTAACGGAGGAGAATCACTTCAATTTATGTCCACTGCAAGTGCGAAGGGACTATGAGTCGATGCCATTGCCGGACAGAGCAGGTATGAGGATCCGATGCAAGCTCACACACGACGACGGCACACAACAGCTGCACTGGGGTACTGTAGTGAAGGACTTGGCGGAGAAGGTACTCATATGTTGGGACGAAGCGGATCCGGGCCAGAGTGCATTTGAGATATTGAGATTGGACGAGGATCAGTGGGATTGTGGCGATTCCGAAGATAACGCTGGAAGCATCTCCGAGGGGGAGGCGTGTCGCGGCACCGAATGATCTGTTATTATTATCGGGCGTGCGCGAAATGCTCCAGTGAGTAACGGCAGGCAGGAAGGCCAGAGGATAGATATATGAGGCTGAGATTAGGTGTTTGAGTTATCATTGTTGCTAATTAAATTGATATTATGAGCATGTGAGATAACTCCGTAGCCATCTGGCTCAAGTCTGTATTTTTACTCTCCATTTTCACATGAGTACTAGTCGCGTTGAGGAACCGTCCAAACCAACCGAGTCGGCCGACCGTAACATATGACACGATATATAGCTATCGTGTTTCGCGCTGGAACGGATATGCAGATATCGCTAACTCGATATGCACAGTGTGTAATGCACTAGAACCTTTTTGACGGAAAAGTCTAACCTGGGGATCGGACCGAGAGCATATTTCAGGGAAGAGTTTGGCGCACGATCTAGATTTTGAGCTCCGCCCCTACGGCAATAAGACCTAGTCCCTTATATCCATCATATGTTTCCCTTACCCGGTAGTGTTGTTGCATCATATCGCACGATATTTGATTGTACTTCTACGAAAGTTCCAGCTAGTGCAGGGAATCAGTAGCTGCCAACTCTAGGCGCCCCGAACTAACTCGACGCGAATGCGATCCACAATTTGCTTGGCACATACAATGCGAGCAGTTAGTCATAGGCTCAATTCATGCTCAAGGATTTAACCTCGCTCCACGTGAGGCCGTCCAACGCCGCATGTTCAGTTATGATACCTTCCTCCTTCGATGAGGGACACATACGGTCGTGGCGCTCTAACCACTCATGATGACCGAGTGACCGCGCAAGAGCAATAACACTATTAGCCTGGCTCTGTCGGAGCCATAACCCATACAGTGGATAGCGCTGGTTCCCATTCTGAATGAGTAATGTCCATCGTTTGATTACCTCACATGAGGCCGATGGAGACATATTCTGCAGTACATCAATCTCGGTCAGATCGACACGAGCATTTCGAGTACGGCAAAGGTCCCAAAATCTCTGGACCAGGCGTTTCTTGCGACGGGAACAACCTGCAGGCTTCGGCCCCGGGATTCGAGCTGGGGGTTTTGCTATTGCTGTTGCTTCGCATGGGTTTGGATTTCTCTGGGTATGAACGATAGACAGTGCATGCTTTGCATAGCGTCTGTAAACATCGGCGTTTCTACCCTCGGCTACCAAGTCACCTGAGGTACAGTGTGACAGGAGAAAAGCAAGTACCTCCGTGAGTCCTGAAGACTCACGGACTCAGTCCTCTGCTCACATGGTGGAACAGGAAGGATTCTGGGAACATATTTCAGTCTCACGTATTTGTCCCTAATGAATCGTTCGATAGCACCTGTGAGACGTTAATATACAGTGAGATTGAATTACATACCGCTTCTCCTTGAAGGTCTTCGGAATCTCCTAGGCAAAGTATGCTCATAGTAATTGTTGGATTATCCAACTTGGATATCGAGTTACCGATAGACTTCGCCAATAGGACCCACCTACAAGAAACGACGCTTCCACTGACCCTCGACGAACCTACTTGGCTGGCCACTCGTCCAAGGCCACACTTCGTACAACTGACACGTGCACGCCAAGCGCGTTGTGCACAGCATAGCAATCAATACATATGAATATGCCCAGATTCACGCTGGCAAATCGTGGCTTCCCAACTGCGCAATCTGACTTGGGAACATCATCCATCTAAATCACTTTCCCAAAACCAAATCGAGATTTTTACGGTGAACTCACGCATCGTTTATTACCTGCACAGCATTGGTTTTCCGGCCGCTCCAGTACTGATTCCAAATCCGCCGCAGCACAGCGCTCAGAGGACTCTGTAAGTTCACCCATTCCAGGCATAACTGCGATAAGAAACTCGGGATGTGTAGTCAACTACAGTTTCGCAGCACAACATAGCGACGATATAGACTCCGGGCAGCCCTAACATAATATCGCATATCATGCGAAAGTGATGACATCGCACGGTATATGCTAAGAGAAGCACAGGGAGGGAAATGAACCACCAGAACAGGCTTTACACAACAGACAGAATACAGCTGCGGTTGGTTAGGGGAAGTAAGTCAAGTCGACGATGGTACAGTAGACGCTCCTCTTGCTTCTTCGGCACTGGGTAGAATACACCGGGAATCATGGTGGTGAACATTGACAGTACGATGGTCGAGAGCGAGAAGACATCGCGATGGTTCCCAGTTCATACAGTCGACCATGCTCCCTGCAAAACTAACCGAGGTAGTGTTCGAAAAGGATAATAGCCCGCTGCCACCGGTGCTGCACGTGCCGTCTTGTCCAGCAAACGAATTCGGACACGGCGACGAGTTGATACTATCAACTTGATAGTACCTGGAACGAGAAGAAAAAACGACTAACGAAGCGGGGCGAATGCGAATGCATAAAATGAGACAACTGAGCGAAAGAACACGGGAGCAACTGTTGGGTAAAGGTAGTGGCAAGTACGACGTAACTCAGTAGAAACAAAGGCCGAAGCCTTTGAGGGGAACGGTGTCTTCTAATGCAAGGGCAAGATAGAGCAGGTATACACATAGTAGCAGCCCACAGACTGAAATGCTAGAAAATGGCTAGACAGGCATCAACGGAGAGAAACCCCACCATACTCCAAGGCACCCGCTGAGGGATGTGCGAGTATAGGCAGAGGTGGTCAAAGCTTGGCCCCGGCTATACCGAACCGGTCACCCCCACGCCACGTTGAGGCGCCAAGACCTGTGGGGACATGAGTAGTACGGTGAACGTGAGCGACGCAGTTAGGGGAAATAGATCAGGATGGCGCGCGCGACTGCCTAAATCCTTACGACCGCGCGGCAGAGACGATGAGTAGGACTTCCACGCGTTCAATCGCGTAAGGCGGGACAGTTAGGGCAACCGGCCGTAGGCCGTGTGCCCCGACCGGCCGTAGGCCGGTCTCGGCAAAGGTGGGTGCTCTCGGGCGCTCTCGGGTGCTCTCGGGAGATTCGTGGTGACAGCCAGCCCGGCGTGTGGTGATGATGAGCCCACAGGCCGGCATAGGAGGGCATTTTTTAACCATAAAGATGCCACGGAAGGCTTCTGGCAAAGGCCGGAGGCGGGCATCCGCCAAGAGCAAAGGGAAGAAGGATAGCAGTAGTAGCACAGTAACGGTGGTTACGGAACGCAGGACTCTATTGAGGCCTGAGAATGCTGGTAGTATGCAATGCGACGTCACCTGACCCGTTAGTGTCTCTTCAGAGAAAGATTCGACATTCTCGCCTTGGATACGGTGGCTGAACACATTAATGAGGACGGTACCTCCGGGTGACTTACCAGAAATAATAGAACTATTGAGAAAGGCCAAGGTTGAGTAGGCTGATCATAGCCGTTAACGTCGCATCCCAAGATGGCTGTAGATACACACAGACGATTTATACTGGGCCTTATGGCGGGGATCACAGTGAAAAGGAGGAACCGAAGGAAGAGCCGATGACAACTGGGCATGGGGTGGCAACGGTGAAGGATGAGGTCAAAGAAGAGGGTAGTGCATCTAGGGCCTCCGATGGTGTTACGAGGATTGCTTAGGTATGCCCAAACGCAAGAGAGGCAGACCACGAAAGTCGGTGGCCAAACCCAAGGAGGGTCCACCCATCCTAGCTCCGTCTGGTGGGTCGGAGGGAGAGGCAGCTCCTAAGAAGGCCAGAGTGGCCCGTCTCGATGATAGCCCCACATCTTCTATTGAATACGATACTCTAGGTCCTTTAGAGGTCGTTGCTAGGTAGGAAGGCTGCTGTGGTTGACTGGATCCACTCGAGTGCAGACCTCCTCAACCGTCCTTGGACAAAACGCTTAATGACATGCCTGACAATGCCAATGGGCATGTGGCTTGCACTGAGAGGGTTCAGCCTCCGCCTCCACCTAGGTAGGGTTGCCTTGGAGACTAGTCAAGTCAGTACTGACCTCAGGATGACTCATCCAGGATCGATAGCCAAGGCGGTCCCATCGGCCAACATGCCAAAGGCGGCCTCGATGCCTCCACTGTCCAGGGTATGGCGCTTGGGGTTGGCTCTCTGACAGCACTGTGTGGCCCTCAGTTACCGCCCGGGCCATTAGCGTCCCATGCAGCGAGCCCAGCATTAGCCTATGCCTTCCTACTCCATCAAGCAGCCCTCAAGCAATACCAGCAAGTGGTGCGAACAACCCCTCCTATTGTTCCTAGACCTGCTAAGGTCCCTCCGCCTGAGGCCCCAGCTAGGGGTAGTCGGGGTGAAGGGTCCCAAGAGCAGCAAAATGCGCTGCTCGTGCAGCAGTTGAAAAGCTTAGTTGCTGCCAATCAGAAGGTGTGGGGATCATCCCTACAAGGCCAGCCGGGGGGTGGTAAGGCGGCGTCATGCAGCACAGTAGTGGGGCAATGTCATGGGAAGTTTAGTGGACATGCTGATGGCCGGATAAGTGCCGTCGCTGGGAATCGAACCCAGGGTCTCCTCGCCCCGAAGGTCGATCGTCTGAGTGGGAATCCCGTGTCTGCGGCAGCTGTTAAGAAGCTGGACCGAGCTCCCGTGTCGTTGATACCATCGGCTAGTGGAGACTCTCGTGAGCAGTGCGAGAAGGACGGGAAGAAGGGGTCTAGGGAGGACGAGGCCGCTGATGGTCATGGATGAAGCTTTGACCAGCTACTATTGGACAATCAATGATGATGATGATGATGATGATCCGCGTCATATGCAATTGGAGATGGCCCGACTAGCGGCCCATCCAGACCATTGTTTGTATATTGTAGTGAGGCATTGAGTGGTGTTAAGTGCCTATGAGAAAGCTGGGACTAACGCGTCTTTACAGTTTATGTCGGTCAATGCTGATACAAGCCTGGGAGGAGGCAGCAGGAGGCAGGCTAATCGCTATGAGCTTGCCGCTTTGACGAGAGTCGTGGCAGCGGTACCCAAGACAGATTCACGATGGTAGTACTAGGGTTATCCTCGTCGGGCGGCTAGATGCTGGGAATATCTTGCTATTTCTCAGGGGGTTCCGTTCCGGTGCTCGGGACAAGATATTGAGACATTCAGGGTAGTCTGGGTCTTGCGTGTCGTGGTCAGTACCATCGTGTGCCTCAGTGTGGACTTCATCCATGCTCCCTACTCTAACGCGGAGTTGAATCGGCTTGAGGAAGCTGTAGAGGATACACGGGCGAGTCTTGGCTGGGATGAGGACAAGACTTGGAAGTGAGGCCTTGGGGAGTCTAGTTAGGATGGATAGTGAAGGCGCTGGATAGGTACATTCGGGAGAGTGCTGGTCGTAATAACCAGGAGAAGTTCTGGCCGACACTGTTTGCCAAGGCAAGGCTACCTCATAGGAGTTGTGAGAGTATGCAGCAGACGATAAGGAGACATCTGGTCCCGGGTAGTAGGGTCGGGGAGGGTAGCGATAGAGGCCAGGGCTTTGCAGATAAGTACTATAGGGATAATAGGAGGCTTACTGAGGAGGAGAAGAAGCTGTTGGCCGAAGTGCAGCGTGGGGAAGTGAAGATGTCTTTGGCTGAGTTGTCGGAGATGATGGAGTTGCCCAAGTATGTGATTGATGATTACATGGGCATCCTTAGGAGAGGGTAGTAACGGTAACATTGGCATCGCTAAGGGTGGTAGTATTAGGTTCAACCAAGGTGTATCCTCTCGGTCGGTGGAGGAGGAGGAAGAGAGGGTGGGTCTTCCTCCTTTTAAGGAGAGGTCTCGATGGCTTTGTGCAGCGCTTGTTAAGGTCTATGGTGTAGCCTTTCCGTGAGTCGGGGTGGACCTGGTCTCCTCCCTACTTGATGACTGATCAGATTCCATCTCGAGCCTGATCCGATTAAGACACCCGAGCTAGTGAAGGTATACAAGAAGTAAGGAGAGTCCAGGGCGTCGTGATGCCGCTACTTTATGGTCCTCAGGATAGCACAGGCTAATTACCCGGACACGCCATTGGTAGAGAGCATATGTAATCCGAGGCAATTTAATAACGGCTTCCGAGCGGCGATAAAGAAGGCGAATAAATACGCCTGGGATAAGCTCAACAACAAGGACGTAGTCACTCGCTACCCCCACCTAGTTGTGGTCCACCTCGAAAGCTTCAGGCCTACTGCCAGCATATTGTTCGACGGCTGGCTGACGCTACCGAGGGCAAGCTTAAGTCCCTTGATGGTAGCATAAACCCCTTTCCGGCCCTCATATTAGAGCAAGTACCATGGAGGCTAGTGGCACCGTGTTGGAACGGGGAAGCAGCTAAGGACTTCTTCAAAACGGTGCTCATAGAGAAGTACTGCCCTGGGTCGTACCCCCCCTATAGAATCAGCTTGGGCCAGGCTCATTTCATTTTTTCTACATTTTAGGTGGTCCTTTATGAAACATAATATTGATATAGTTATAAAAATATTGATATTCTACTATCCCTTTGCCTCCATAGATCGATTCGTATATTATAAATACATAGTATATTCATCCTCCTATAGAATAGGCCTTGATCAGGCTAACCAGAAAGTCCTCGAGTGACATACCCTTTGACAAGTTGATTGATGAGCTATGGGATGCCTGGCAGCTGTCGGAGGAGGAGAGTGTTGAGGAAAAACAATCGGCTGAGGAGTACGAGCGACATGTCAGGGTAGCGCCTTTACAAAAGAGCTCTGGAGCGACTTGCGTTATTTCAGACCTTCATCGCGGCAGTAGCGGTGTCGGTGGAGAAGTCACTTAGAGTGAGTCGTGTAATGGTGGGTGGGTTGGGGATGAGATGGTCCTGGTAGGGGAAGGTGCCGAAATCATATCAGCTGGATGAGGTCCCTGAAGTGGAGGGTTGGAGTAGAGCTGCCAAGACAAGGGAGAGGAAAGGGAACAAGAGGTATTCACCGCGTAGGGGGCAGCCTGTCCATGTGCGATCTAGGACTGCCATCAGGCGGGTTCTTGAGGAGGAAGCAGCTGCTCCTAACACAGTTGTGTTGGAGCCTTCAGAAGGATCGGGGGGCGATGCAAGGTAGTAGGGCATGCTCTCCTAGAAATGTGAGAATAGCGATGAAGTCATGCGAGTTGACAGCCAGCAGGTGTAGTGGAGTTTCACTCGTTTTACGTGAAGTGGCGTAAAACTCCGTGGAAAACGCGATATTTGCGCCTCGCAATAGTCGGGAAATATGTTTTTCACTAGTGTTTTTCATATCACGGGTGAAACTCCAGTATAGAACATTGTTAATGCAATGGGCATAGATAGGGGCATTCTCCTCAGGGCCACAGTTGAGGTTGAATCGGTGGAGGAGAAGTCGCAAGAAGGAACTAAACACGAAGAGCCTGCCGCGGGCAGTGTCTCGCAGTAAGGGGTTATAGCCGTGCCGTGTATTGCTCGTAATTTTATTTGTCAGGTTCAGTAAGGAGGAAAGATGCCGGTTGTTGGCCCTCGCCTTGATAGACCAATATGGTGTGGATTTCGAGTAGGCATTAGGGGCCAGCTAACTCTGTTTATGGCATGGCCCTCCTCTTTGGCAGGTTCCCTCATGACGATGATGTGGCCGCCCTCGAGAGTATTCGCAGCCGGTTCGAGCGGTAAGGGTGGACCTTAGGGGCGTTCAGTGCGAGAGGGGGGCATGTCTATTCATTGTCATATGGCAACAACTAATGCGCTCGCCTTGCGTCCGCTTGTGTATAAGGGTCCCATTGGCTGCATGTGGCATTACCACGCCTCACGATGATCGTAGCATGTGATAGGTACCTCGGTCTACGAGGAGTCTATTGCAAGGTGGAGAGAGCTGAAGTAGTTTCCCTTCTTAAGCACATCATCCGGCAGGGCACTCGGGCGGCATGGGACGCTTTGGAGCACTGGGAGGTGGGCCGTACTGGGCCCCTGGTGGACCATGGTCTCCCTAGGCATTTTCACGTTATCTCATCCGAAGAGTCCATGCGGCTGTTCACGGCACTCTTCGTGATAAGAGGACAGGCAAGGCCCTGGCAAGGCCTGCGAGCCGTGAGGAGATACCATGGAAGCACATCGCACCGTGTTGGAATCCAAAAGGGATCAGGAGCGTCTTTGCGGATAGTGTTATGCCAGTGTAGGCCGCATCAATGGTTACACGTGCGGGGTCACCAGTGGTCATCTCAGGCTTAACGAGGAGGACGTCGGGAGTATGTCCCTGGACGGGGTCGTGGATAGCCTGTGGGAGGCTTGGGAGCTTCCTGCCAGCGATGGAGGGGAGGAAGCTGAGGCGTACATCGAGTTTGAGAAGGCGGTCAGGGTAGCTGATTCGTGGCCTCGGATTTATAGGATTTCTGTGTGTTGTAGGAGCACTTCATTTCCTTGGCTGCTGCGGCGGATCCGACTGTTAGGGTAGTGTTTTGGAGGCCCGGATCAATGGCCATAATAGGTTGTTCGTTATTAGGCACGAATATCCAAGAAGACACCGGCTGAGGTTCAAGAGAAGAGGCAAGCACGTAGCTCTGAGAAGGGGTCGGTCCGTAGCTCTGAGAATGGGCCGGTCCGAAGCTCTAAGAATGGGCCGGTCCGTAGCTCTGAGAATGGGCCGGTCCGTAGCTCTGAGAAGGGGCCGGTCCGAAGCTCTGAGAATGGGCCGGTCCGTAGCTCTGAGAAGGGGCCGGTCCGTAGCTCTGAGAAGGGGCCGGTCCGAAGCTCTGAGAAGGGGCCGGTCCGTAGCTCTGAGAAGGCAGCGAGACGGATGTCAGAGAAGGGGCCTGAAGTAGCAGCAACAGCAGCCCCTTCGAGGAAACGGTAGTAGTAGATGGGCACGTTGTTGTGGTTGGAAGTTTGAGTATCACTGATGAAGTCTTCGCTCGTAGAATTATACGTGTTGGCATGGCACACATTGGTCGTAGCTCATGCCTTACGGAGAAGGAGGAGGGAGTGGGGCCTACTTCTGGGCACCGCTATCATGGATCTTGTCGTGTTTACATCGCTTATAGAGCTCAATCGAGGTGTGGCCCCATTCATCGCGTTGTGGCTAGTATGCTCCGGGAGTGCCTGTTGTTGAATTGTTGGCAATGAGCCTTGCCTGGAGTGCTGTTTTATCGGCTATCTCACGGTGAGTCTCGTCTTTGCAGGTTGTCTGATCTGCTCAAGGGCGCCGCCAAGCATGCCTCGAAGCGTCGCAAGGTCCCGCATTAACGTCCAGATAGTACATAGTTGTTTATCGTTCACTGTAATCAACGTTTCATCACGACATGCAGTGTATTGCATCAGTGAGAAGTGTGCATGGAGTGGTACAGTTAGTTGGCCGAATTTTAGTCGGGACCATGGCTAGCCTATCGTTCCATCGTCCCGCCTCTGGTCATGCTGCTGCTGCTGGTGCTGGTGGCGGTTTTGGAAATGTTGAATATGACTCGTTACCATGTGAAGTTGACGGAGCTCTGAGTGAGACCTTGGCCTATATGGTAGGGCATGATTTGTTGTAGGAGCGGTAGAGGCCGGGATAGCAATAGACGAGACCGCGGGTGATATGCAGTCCCTCCTGCTGTATGGGGGTGGCGGCTCGATCACGGGAAGTAGTAGTACTACTTCGTGTCGTGATTCCAAAGATCTACTCTGTGCCCAGCTTCGACCTACACAGTGTTCGGTGACTACTCGAGGCCTCCTGCTATCACAGAGGATACTCAGGAGTTGCATCAGTACGTGTCGGCTGGGGAGTCGTGGGCAACTCCTGATGAGGAGGGGGAGTGGGAAAGGATGGGCGTCATAAGTAAAGAATTCACATCTGTTTGTAAGCAGCAGTCTTCTCCAGGCGAGCTGGGCCGACAGTGGAAGTCCAGGGGCTCGACTGTGGTCATATGGGACCCTCTCAAGTGCGGTCACGATGTTGTAGAGTAGGGCACCTCCCATTGATTCCCTTCGTCAGTGTCTACTCGAAAGGTTCAAAGTGTCGGACGATCCTGACGACTCAGTGACGGCCCTGTGTGTAACGGGATGGAGGGACTCAGTAGCGTTGGCGGTGGCCGACATGAACACCAACTTGCAGCACACAAGGCATCAGGGGCGGAAGTGGATCATGGCTGTGTCCACTGGTACGTATTCACCTGTCTCGCTCGCCTCGCTCACTGCTGGGTAGTCACTTCGGTCTACCTCCTGGTCCTGAGCGTCTCGGATGCTGCACAGTCCCTGCAGCCACCGATACGCTACGCGAGCGTGTCCTTACCTGGGGAGGCTACTGAAGGTTGGTAGAGTGTTCGTGAGGCATGATGCTTTATCGCATATGGTTAGATGAGGCCAACCGCTTTGTCTGTCTCTGTGGTACTCCTGGTGGGGCGATCTACGCTGGAGCATGCGACGGTAGCATATGGGAAATTGAGTGAGTAACCGTATCCAACACAGTGATGGAGTCTTATTGGATCGAAGGTATGTGACTGAGTCGGAACTTTGGCGGCAACAACAGGCCAGCCAGAAGCACGGCGGCGCCGACTGCTCTCGGCGTTCGGGGGTGGCTCTAGTGGGAACGGTTTCACAGACCAGAGTAGGGCTAAACTCAAGTGCTTGCATCGGTGAGGTTATAGAGGTTCTCTCTCATATAAAGCCCTTAGCCGTTCAGCCCTTTTCGTCCCATCTCCCTGGTATCTTCCGAAGCGTAGTCTCTCGAGTAGTAACCTTATCAGGTAATAGCCCTCCGGCATGCTTCCTGCACTGTGCCTGTTCAGGTCCAGTAGCCCAAGTTGCCTTTGATACCTCTCGGTCCCTACTGTATGCCCTGGGTTCCGACACCCATGATGGTGGTGGTCGGGACATCACAGTCCTTCGAATAGACCCTAAGGACGGCGTTAGACATGTCGCTGATGTCTTACACAGTATTACTACCGCTACCTCTCACGTGTCTATAAGGAGTCGGCCTCGTAGGTTCTATATTGACCGCACTCCGCAATATGGGTACTGCAGCGTACGGAGGCTCTCGTGTTGCTCGGGCAAGGGCATTCTTCTCATCTGCTCGGAAGAACAACGCCGCGGTGAGTGGAGCTAAGGAAGTGTTATGTACTCGATCATCTATGGTCAGGATATTGTTGAGATATTTCCCATCCCCTACGCTAAAGGCGGAGACATCTGTCTGCTGGCGGTCCTTAGGGGTGGCTCTCGAGTGTACCTTCGCATCTGGGGCTACGAGTCCCCGACCCATTCTGGACTCTATCACCGTCAGCTCGTGGACCCAGCGAAGAGAATCCCTTCTAGGCTCGTGGTCGGCTTGGTCCGTCCGCCGGATAGGTGAGACCAATGGAGGCCCTCGGTCGGTGCTCTTCATTATTTGCCATTAGGTCCCCAATCCTATCTGTGCGTTCCTGTGCCACGACAGAGTCGGGCTCGGTTACGATGCTGGACGAATGTGGAACTGTAGTGGTGGTCACGCCAGACTACTCAGCATTGGCTCGACGGTCCGCTGGCACTCAGGCCCTCGGGAGTGATGGTATTGTCTATGGTCAGGTGTGTTGGAGGGGCAGGGGCGATAGGGGCTATGCTGGAGGGGTATACTGTCATTGATGGTGGAGGGGCTGGCCTTACTCATGTGTAGGGTCTCTTTGGTCGATCCCTGGTAGTCAAGTTGGTCGCTTGCTCAGGTTCACACGAGACGGCATCGATAAGGCAGACCCCGAGATGCCCAACGATCTCTGCAAACAGGGCCAGCCTGAAGACACTCCTGAGGCTGTCGTATTGGTCGGGTAGGTCTTGTCCCGGAATCCAAATGTAGTTGACCCTCTCGTTTTGTCAGGGCCACGTCCTTCTGCCGACTACAGATGGTTCGCCCAATAGACAGACTATTCCGTATCTTAGCTGCTCAGAACATCCATCTCCTTCGAGACTTCGTCACACGGTAAGGTCGATGAGTCGGTAACTATCGCAATGGTCACGAATTAGGTATACTGCAGTGGAGACGGCCTCTCTCATATGGCAGCTCTTGACAACGCATAACCTCAAGAGTGGCGGTGCTGCGAAGCGACTCGCCCGGCGAGACATGTACGGATGCACAAGTGGATATCGGCAAACTGTACTTGACAGGAGCAGCGGTCCAGGAGAAGTGTATGCGGCCCTCACTGGTGGCGGGAGATCGGGGCCTAGCGCTTCCCCTCGAGGGTCCTTCCAAGGCCTCAGCTCTGGGTAAGTCGCTAACATACACGTCACACTACTGACTATCTCTGATAGGGATGGCTCGGGTATGCAAGGGTCATTGGATGCCTCTGGTATATCGAGCCTGGGAGGAGGCGCTGGTGACTCCCTCTTCATGGACGGCGAGGAGACGGCCGAAGACAGGCGGTAGGTGCTTGGTGTAGGTGAGGCCACAGTATTGTTGGTAGGTCCTGGGCGGCCCATAAGGCAGCCTGTGTCTCAGCAGCGGAGCAGGCGTTGTTCTCCCCTGATATAGCGTCTAAGCTAGGGTAGGGTCAACTCCATGGGAGGCGCTTCCTACCTGCATGATGATCATCAGTTTCATCGACCCCTTCGGCTCGACAGCAGCTAACATGGCTGATAATGCAGCGTTTGGAGGAAACCTTGCGCTGGGCGCCGGAACCCTTCAGCGGACGGCACTGGGTTCTCTCTCGCAGAGTGTGCGTATGCCGACTGCCGAGGGAACTGCAGTGATCGATTCGAGCCTGTCGCCGAGATTGCGAGGCCTCTGCCTATACATTTCTAGACTCGTACGGCCGTTCTGGAAGACGCCCCTGATGTCCCTGCAGGAAGTGCCGGTCTCAGGTCGGACTCTGGCCACTTGTAGATTTGTGAGGTTGTGTTATTCAGGAGGAACGAAACGGAGGCGACAGGATGAGGAGGGTCGCAGTGGGGACACACAGACTGTATTGCGGCCTGTTCTCAGTCTTCGTCAGAGGCAGAGGGCCAAGCACACCCTCACTGCGGTCAGCGAGGCGTTTCCGCGTTACCTTGGTTCCTCCACTGTTGCCACCTTGCAGGTAAGTAAGCTACTCGAGCAGTATTCGACCGGGCTTTCCGAAGTGGGAGAGCTACCGTGTGTGAGGCAGTTGATCACTCTTATGCAGGTCGCCAGTCAGGTAGGGTCATCGTTCTTAGTGAGTAGTAGAGATGTCGTTGCAGGGGCTCGAACTTCTGCAGTTGTTGGGGGAAGGAGGCGGCTCGAGGAGAGCTGATGCGACGGCCGAGATGAGGAAGCAGCAAGTGAGTCGATTGATTTGGAAGCCCCAGCGCATCCTCCCTGTATAGACCGATACCCTTATGTCCATGAGAGACATGTACTTCAATACGACCATCACCAACCCTGATGTCTGCCGCCCTCTGGTGGCTAATCTCATACAACTTGGTCAGCTTTCGCTTCTTTCTATCGATGTACTCATCTCGACAGGTCTCCTCTCTGAGGGTACTGCTAGGAGACGATTCCCTGCATTGGTGCCTCCGTTGCGGCTCATGGGACCTCAGGGGAGAGAGGTGGTAGGTGTTTGAGAGGAAGCGGTCCGTCCTAGTGACTCGGTGCTGCTCCAGGGTCAAGCTCAGCTCCCTGATGGGCGCACTCCCGGACGAGATCTGGAGACGATGAACTTGACGCCTAATTCGGAACCCCAGCAGGTAGGAGTTTTTGATGGAAGCAGCAACTTCTAAGCTCGGCGTTCAGGGATTCAGCGCAAACTGGGCGAGCCTGCCTACAGCTGCTGATCGCTACGTGCAATGGACAGGAGTTAACCCACCAGCTACTAGGAATCATGTGAGGTGTCAGTGAGGGTGTTGTGATGTAGCAGTATTGGGTAGGTACTCGGCCGTTCGAAGGGCGGTAATTCACTGGACTTGTGGATGAACAAGTCCAGGCAGCATTCCTGAATGAGTTGAGCCCCGTGTTATTGTTGTTGTTGATAACTGGCAAGCACTGACGTACGTTACCCCGGTTTATTATCATCAAAGATTTTTTGCGTGAGTATAGTAAATGTTGATGACTTGTAGTGAAGGGAAGGGTGTGCTCGACATCCACAATGATTATACGGCATCTTGCATATGTGAACCTTCAACATGATTGAGACTATCGATATACAGTCCCACCAACATCAGTACGGCCTCGAGGAGGCCCGCCTACCCAACTAACAACTCAACTCGATTGATGATAATTAAGTGTAGCAGAAATGGTACGGTAGTATGCCATTCAGCACCATTCAGTACCGTAACGGTACTGAATGGTGATATTGCCGCGATTGTACTGTAAGTACTGCAATGGCACTGCGGAAATACTCCTGAAATCGGGAATGCCGCAAAGGCAACTTTCCAGGCATGGAATCACTCCACACCAGATAGTATTCATCTGAACCTAATATCATCCGATGTATGTTAACCATATCTGAAACTATATGATGGGTGGCCATTTACCATACTGAAGGGCAATATTTAATCGATCCAACGTTACTCTATGAAGTGGTGGCGACTCTAAATTTTCTGAAGGCTCCCATTCAGCTCCTGCTACACGTCCGTATGCGAGGACCCATCATCTAACACCACGGAACTATTCGCCTGAGCGTATCCGTTATTACCCTACGAGGAATACATGGGCATAAGCACCTCCTTCGGGCCACCCAACGTCTCCTTATTCGAAGGGAAGAAGGGAGACTGAGTGTCTCCCTCCGATATAGCATATTCCATGAATTCAGTATGTGTGTTCGAGGTACTACAACTTGTATGATCAGCAAGGAAGAATAGCCGTTGTGGGCAAGTGAATCGATCAGCAGGGCGTGCGCCAAAAAGCTGCGCTGTCGTGGTCACGCACTGTCACAGGCGGCTTGGTAATTGCGAGTTGGTAGGGGATAATCCTCCATCATGATGGTATAGGCAGTGGCAATGCTAGTTTGGCTACTAGGGTACATCCTCAAGAGGCAGTGGGTGCCATTACACTGTAGTGTAGTACTCGGTTGAACAGGCATTGGTACGGAAAACATAGAGTCGTCTTCGAACACCATGAATGTGGTCTGACGCTGATTGAATCAACGATTTGCTGCCGCGCAGAGAAATCAACAATGCTCGAACACAGTAGGGTTCAGCGACACGGTTCGATGGGTAGTAGGGGGAGATCGTCGCTATCACATCAGGAGTCGCTCTTGCATGAGCTTTTGAGGAGGACGGTGCGGTATAGCCGTTGATACGTTTAGGATTCTAGTACTGGGCCGTCGTGAATGGGCCGCTGTTTTTCGACGGTATTTGCTCGAGCATTGTATAGTCATGTATTGATGGGCACTGTACTGATGGGGCGAGTCATCGTAGCTATTGACGTATTGAGGAGGCATCAGATAGGCATTCGGCCAAAGGGAACTGAGCGTAGCTCTTAGAGCTACATCGTCGCTATAGCATAGCAGGTTGGATGTCCGGTCACAGCAATGATCACGTGATAAGAACTCTTAGGGAACAAGCTGTCAGCAGTAGCAGCATCGCATGATCGAATAAGATGCATGCTGGCGGTACCGCAACGTGCCCCGTAGAGGACCTGTTAGTGGTATCAGGAAGAGGGATGAACCCGTTAGAGTGGGATCTCTGGTCTGCGTGTTGAACTATCGATCTAGCGTTATCTTTGGGCTATCTCATCATTCAATCTTCCATCATTCCAGTGGTCCTCGGTGGGTCACATATCATCGTCATGTTCATTCGGGAAGCTATGTTTTTATTTTGCGTCTAGTACGTTGTTGATTCTGCTGATCATTGTTGGTGGATGGACGTCCCGGCGTAGATATTTTCTATAAGTGTGAGTTTAATTATAAATGGCAGAAGATGCTACAGACGGCGGAGGTCTTGACGTGCTCGAGCGGCAACGTCGAGAGGCGCAGCGACAAGAGCCTCCAATAATAGAGATGTTCAACATGTTCCCCCACGAGAGCGGCATAGTGATGAGACGGGGAGTGGAGCTTGGCATGATTTGCAGGTATATTTCCGCGCAGGTTCAGTCCCAGCAAGCTTTGTTTTTTTCAGTGCCGTCCTCATCGCCCATTGCGCTTATCTCATCGCGTTCTACTGGCCAACAGAAGGTTTGATGGAGAGTAATATCTCGTTTTTCGACAGACTCCTTCTACTCCTCTGTGTAATACCATCTTTCTATGGCATCGCATCCAGTGGCGACTACTCTCAGGTTGTACGTGTAGTAGCTGCAGTCCCGCGGCCGTTTTTCTGGTTCAAGACCAGAAGGCTCTTTGTCGAGGCGAGGTAAGCTCTGATGAACCGATATGGCCCTGCTTATGGTCAACCTCAGATATGAGCCAACACCTCAGTTGGTGGCTCAGCGTCTTATCGACATATACTTCCACCCCTTCCGAATTGAACGGTGGTTGTTATGGAGTTACTACATTTGGTTGGGCTTCACAACAGCACTCCTATGGTTAACACCCGGATCCGTGTCGGGATCTTCAGAGTTGGCCAGGGTAGTAGTTGGTCTATCCACGTCAATTCGGCTAGTCTTGTCCTTATAGGCTCTGTGGAAGCACGTGATGATGAACCTAGCGTCAATCATACTTCATAGGGTCGTCTGCGTTAGCCTCTTTTATTGGCTAATGGAGTCGGATTTCAAGCGCGGTATTCCAGCCGATGTCCTGGACAAATACAGCACGGTTAGACGGGCACGGGAGATGTGGAATATTGACGGTCTACATTTCAGGTTGAGACTTATTCACCGGACCACCCATTGTCTCCTTGCCGCTCCGCTAAGAGCATTCATTTGTACAATTCGGGCGAGTGTTCGATCTGTTATTGCGCTTATGAAAAAGGGGAGCAAGTCCGAGTGCTGTGCTGCGGCCATTCCTTCCATACTAACTGTGTTGATACATGGTTAGTCGGTCATCAAAACAGGTATGAGCATGACCCTCGACTGTTCCATATCCCCCTAACTCTCCTCAGATGTCCTCTCTGCTTGGGAGTGGTTGGTCCGGCCTTCGATGATAAGTTGGATCGGCAAGTGACTGAGTGTCAGGCTATCGATTAGATCTAGTGCGCGGCTGGATGCTTTGGCGTTTTCATGTTGGAAAGAATATAGTAAATGCATCACTACAGTATATACTCTGATGCTGATATGACTAAGTTTGCCTTAATTGTTACCATTACTGTCGTATAGATTAACGATGACCTCACCAATGTATTTTTCGTTCTAGAGGTGTAGCGTGTAATCTCAAGGCGCCTCATTTGGTTATACTGGTCGTTATTACACGTCTTGAGTTGCTCAGATTATCATTCAGATTGAATATCTGCGAACAAAATTGGTTGAAAAGCCGCGCTTTTCCTCCGAAATGGATATGATGTTCCTCACGGATATGCATACACGGAAGAACTAACAAACCCACGATATTTCACCGATCGTTGGGGTTCTTGTACTATTCCTTATTCTAACGGAAAACAAACACGGTAGTGATGCAAAATACCGTTGAGGCAAAGTGCAGCAAAGGGTCCCTCTCGAAGTATCTCCGTTTAGTAGTTATCCTACTCCACCATCGCCTGAAGCCTTTCGTCCCCTCAAAGGAACAGCTCACATCGAGTGATCTTAACACATTCTCGGACTCCCGCTGCAGATTTTTCAGTGTTGTGCATTCATCGGTTATACCCTATGACAACCAATAGAAGGGCACCTAGTTGACTGAAGACGCTACCGGTCGGGCTGACTCCTCTTGCTCTGTCGTGTAACAGCCTACACCCTCCTTGATAAGTCCGCAGTGGAGTTGGGTGATAGCCTGATCACCACCAGTAGCAGCTCCCTATCCATTCCGGCCCACGGAGATACCAAGATTATAGTCACCTTCACAGCCTGTGAAGTGGCATAGCCGCCCCACCCAGATGAATTGACCTAAACAAGGTACCTATTGGAGTGGCATAGCCGCCCCACCCAGATGAATTGACCTCAACCGAGGTATCTATTGGAGTGGCATAGCCGCTACACTCAGATGAATTGACCTCAACAGAGGTACCTATTGGAGTGGCATAGCCGCCCCACCCACATGAATTGACCTCAACAGAGGTATCTATTGGAGTGGCATAGCCGCCCCACCCAGATGAATTGACCTCAACCGAGGTATCTATTGGAGTGGCATAGCCGCCCCACCCAGATGAATTGAATTAAACAGAGGTACCTATTGGAGTGGCATAGCCGCCCCACCCAGATGATTAGACCTCCTCAGTGAGGCATATATTAGAGTAGCACCCCGAAACCACCTTATAGTATCCAACACAAGGGAGTTGACAACGTATAGAGAAAATGAACGTGTCTTTTTGATTTGCAAAGATCGTCGATAACCTCCATAGTAGATACAGCACTGGACGAGGCGACGGCAGAGTAGTGTGTATTAGCGCTGTTGGGCAAGTCCTTGGCGGGGTCAGGATATGGCGTGGCACCCTCTGGCCAAGGAGCTCCCCGAGGGCAGTCGTAATGCGCATACCTTCGAGAGATAAACGCCGTTGAACTGATAACGATCTCACATGCCGCATATCTTGGGAACTCCTATTTTGGTAGTGTTGATGAGAGGTGCCGGAGAAGGCTCGACGTAGCTTGGTTCGCCTGGGAGCGGTTTAGGTCTGCACAGTGTCACGGTCTCGATCAGTTTGCACTTGTTAGGCTGAGGTGAGGGTGGCAGTGTCGACCCATCAGAGAGATCGTACCCATATCCCAGCCAGAAAGGAGGTAGCCTGCTGACAAGGTTCGGGGCTAAGGGACTCTAGCGATTGATGGTGCATGAGAATGTCGAACAATATCGTGGGAAAAATGGATATGCAAAGCTAGTAGCGTCAAGTAACACAACTCTTACTGACACATTACTACCAACTATCATCATCACCACTGACGAGTTGTGTACCGCTTTGACCAAGCGAGGCCTCAACTCGGCTACCTGATGAGATTCTACCCCCACGCCTAGGTAGAGGCACATCGTACAAGTGTTCTCTAGCAAGACGATAAGCTTATCCTCAGCCTCCTCACGTTGATGGCGCTCCTCTGCCATGTCGGCCTCCATACGTCCGCAGATCTCCTCCAATTTCCTACCAAGCCACTAAGAAAGCCCTGGAGCTCCACTCACTTGAGCATCCTATCCTCTGACGCTGCTCGCCCTTGTCTTTCTGTTAATACCGCCTCGCCGACCCTAGACAGATCTACAGCGGGAGTCCACGTCGACTATGAACGAGTCGTGTGTGAGAGCTACCAGCTTCTATAACCTCCCTTATCCTTTCTCCTTCGGCTGCTCGACTCTGCCGTAGTCGCTCTGTCTCGGCTGTCAATCTAACCACTTCTTTAGCTATCTGCAAGGACGAGTGCAGACCCCTACGGAATCGGCCGGGGACTACCCGCCGACTATAATCCTTCTTGCGTTGTTTGGAGGCGTCTCGTCTCTTCCGATGATCCTAACAGTTACTATCGTCGTCCCCTACCAGACCGGCCCAGCAACCTCAGTAATCTCCGACACTGTATTAGTGAGAGCCTTCTCAAGCTTAGCATGGGACTCCGTTCGGGCTTGACGAAGAGCGTTCATATCTAGCTCCGTTGACGACTCAACCTAGGTGGCTGATGAGCAGCAGAGGCATTGTTATTGCCATACCAGTTTGAGATCCTTCTGCATCCGCTCAGTGAGGAGCTCAGTGGCAACCCTATCGCTGTGCAGGCTCTCTCGTAACTTGGTTATCTACACTAGAGCATGGCTCTAAGCCTTTAGAGCCCCATAGTCGAGGTCCATCGTGGGGCCCATTACCCAGTGTTGGAATATATGTTCGCTTGCCTCAGCTAGCTTCAGGAGTTTCCTTACTCACTGTAGAACTTTACGTACGAATTCGAGTGAAAGTGTACAGAAATCAGCAATCATCCCCGGGGATTTCCGCAGAATTTTCATATTGTCGGCAACACATGTAGTTGACCATGTGCATATTGTCCCACACTGTCCTTATCATAGTAGCCTCCTCCCTCACTCTATGGTCCCCCACCTGTTCAGATAGCAAGCTCATCTTAGTCTGATCTGCACTCATCGTCCTCTGGAGCTTATCACTCTGTTGCCGTATCTATCTCAGCATAACCAACACCATGACCTCAACCCCCACCTTTGAAGGGATTCCGTCCTCTCGACCCCCCCTCGCCTCCTCCAAGTTAGACTGTATAGCAGCCAACTTCATCGATACTGCCTGACAACGCCCAGCCCAGCCCCAGTGAATATAGCCCAGTTGCTAGATCCCTCACTGAGCGGTTCCCCGAAGGTGGTAGGTGTTCCTCTTCGCCTCTCCCCGACGGCAATGTACTACTGCTGCCCAGTCTGGAGCTCGCAGCAGAGGACGACGACGACCGAGAGATATGCATCAATCACTGGGACTGTGTCCCTATCCTTCGCATTCCACCAACCTAATTGACAACTCGAGTCGTTCATAATCATTTGTCAAAATAGGTTACATCGAGGATGCGACTGTGAAAAATTGGGGACCGCCTCGAGATGACTATACACACTATGATGCCGCTGTAGATTGAGCCATTGGGACGGTGACAGAGAGGCTATGTCGTCCTCCTTCGCTATCGGCCATTCGGACGCGCATCCTTGAAGGTGGGGATCGATCGAGTAGACTCTCCTCGCCCTGTACCACACGTCTCTCACTTCATCCCTCAAACACAGACCTATTCAGCTGGTTCCTATGACCAATAGCTCGGACCGTGGTCGCACCTGTAATAGATAGCCTATGCTCCCTAACAGCACAATATGACCTAAGCCTGCTCCAACAGACATCCCCACGATTCGTTTGTCCGTGGTTACCGAGGCTCAACTCACTGAAGACATCTATCTCGACTGAACTCGACAACAACGATAACAGGTGATGAAAGAGATGGAGGATGCGACTATCGGGCCGGGCTTAGGCTCGCTAAGGGATGCTCTCGAGGCCCCTTATGGGCTCATTTATGAGCTTTACCGAAAACTCCACTCCCAACATTACGACATCTCAAGCTTCGCTCCGGGCGTACCTCAAGCTTCGCTCCGGGCGTACCTCAAACTTTGAGGCTCAAAGGAATGCCCTCGTCGGGATACCGCATTTTGTGTCTCTTGAAGCTGTCCCTTCCACCACTCGAGTGGCGATTCTCCCTTCTCCACATCATCTTCCCACAGAGCCCATGTGATGTTGATACATTAGCCTACGTATTGATCTGATGCAGTGATGTTGATACAATCCGGGCCCCAGTTTATCCATTTCATCAACACTGCCATGACCTTGGCGAGCGAGGCATCGTTTAAAACCCTTTCTAGTAAGTGAACCCATACCCCGTATCCAGAATGGCTTCCCTGGATATAGATCTATGAGCGACCCGGCAAAGCCCTCCCCGTGTCGCTCAGCGAGGAGCTCTATTCCCACGTCTACCGATGTGTGAGGAACCTTTCAGAACGGGATGAACAGCCGTATTACGATAGGGCGAACACGATGTTCAATAACTACTTCTTCTCTGTGGAACTAGTTTCACCTACTCACCCAAGGGCACTGTACGAGAGAATCATTACGCAATAGAGCATAGGCTGAACATGTTCACGCCCAACGCAAGGGCAAAACCTCATTAGAGGGTCTCCGCGCGCCTCTCATCGAGGGCCCAACAATCACCATATACTCCAGAAGGCACTACTGCACTGTACAATCTACGCATATCCTGACACGACTGTTATACGATCCTACCTCCGCCACCGAAAGACCCTCCGAGTATCTCTGGGGCATGGAAGCCGGGGGTAAGGACCTAGAGCCTATCCACGCAGGTATCGTCCAGCCGGTACCTGGTAGTTACAGAGAGCTCAAGTGCATCACCACACTACCGGGCGTTCGCTTAATCTCAGAGACAGTAACCTCTGGGGTGGTCCCCAATAGTCCTAAGCTCACACAGAGCAAGCGAGTTAAATATGAGGATCACTCTCATCATGACATCTCGTCACTATCAAAAACATATTTGCAAGTAGTTGACCGTTTTTTTTTCCGGAAGTGCTTTCTGGGGCGCGCGCTGTTGACGTAGCAAAGCTGCAAATTTGCCACTTTATGGCTATTGTTGGTATCAATCTCCCACAAGTCTTCCCGAGGTCCTCATGTCGACAACGGTCCGTCGAACAGTCGAAGATGCAGACCTCATAATGTTCAGGTAGATGGGCAGTGTGACGCCTAGTACAACGAAGTGGATGTTTTCAGGAACTACGCCGGGTATGTCGAGACCCGGATGGAGGATAGTTGGAGGCCTGACGACGAGGCTGAGGAGTCTCTACAAGGTCCCAGAATAGCCTACTCCTGATGCAAATCATCCTTGAAACTCAGATAGTGTAGAGGAGCCTCTCATAGGAAAGCAAGCTGCTGAGCAGGTCGGTAGCTTCGTAACATCCCGACACCGTACGAGCAGCACTTCAGTGGGCGTTGCCATCCTTAAGGCCAACCTAGGGTCGGGCATCCTCTATCTCCCTAGAGCATGGGTGAACGGAGGATGGCTCTTCTCTACTCTCGTTCTACCTATACTGGCCTTTATGGCGGCTACTTGCTCCTTGAGATTAGTGGCGTGCCGTCGAGTCGTTCGACAAGGCAGCTATGGAGAGATCATGCAAAAGGCAACAGGGTCCACTTCGGGGAAGTAACCTTACTGTTTCCAACCTCCATTGACTCCACCACTACCCTCAGATGCTTCATCGATCTTTCTCTATTGGCACTACAATCGGGCATCTGCACCGGCTATTTCGTTTTCGTAGCCAACATGGCCTCAGACATTAGCCCATGGATAGCCTCTCTATCCTTCTCTACTAAAGTGAACTTTCCCACCTATCGATTTCCGATAGAGTCATCTCAACAGGTCTTCATCCAAGCGGTAGTCATCGCTCCGCTATGCTGGTTCCGTCAGGTGTCGAATCTCTCCTTCACCAACCTTCTCGCTAACGTAGGATGCCCTATCCTCGTTATCATCATACACAGTGTGTATTACACACAGTTCTGCTCAGATCCTTATTGTATGCAGCCTCTGTGGCCTCATCGGCTTCATCGTAACAGGCGGCCATGGAGCGTCCCTATCTCCAACGAGGCCTCGGACCTATCCCCGTATCAACTTCTGGGATGGCGGTTTTCTGGTCTTCATGGGGACTGCGCTGTAGGCTCCTGTCCACCACCAGGCATCTCTAAATTTTTGATAGATACGTTTTCGAGGGTATTGGTTTGATCCTTCCGACCTACGACTCCATGAGAGAGCCTCACAAGTTCGATAAAGTCTTCACTCAGGCATTCACCATCACAACAGCATCCTTCCTCTTTATAGGCATCGCAGGTCAGTCGTTATCACCGCGCCTCTTTCCCCACCCCCTTGCAGGTTATATCGGGTTCGGTCCTGACACGCAGACTATCGTATTATCCAACTTGCCAGAAGGTAGCCTTCTCACCATCGCTGTGAAGGCTATGTGAGTAGCCAGTGTCTCTCTGCTCTTCCCATCCTCCCCTCCATTAGGTATACAATCGCCGTTTTCATCACTATGCCCTTCCAATTACTCCCCGCCGTTCGCCTTGTGGAATACTATTCAGGGCTCTTCCCAAAACAGCGCCACGTCTCTTTCCGGCGGAAGATGGCGAAGAATATCTTCAGGCTGAGCTATCTCTTCTTCCTAGCAGGCATAGCCTTAATAGCAGGTCGAGACTTGGATCACTTCATATCCTTGATCGGCTCTATGTGTGGCCTTCCACTGGTCTTCATCGCCCCTCCTATATGCCACATGAAGCTCATAGGAGACACCACGAAGAGTGACGCATGTATCCTCATCTTTGGCCTTCTCGTCATGGTCAGCGCCACAGTATCGAACATAATCAATTTTGGTACTCATTGAATTAGACAATTTTCTATTCTTTTGTCACTTGCGTAGTAAACACAACAGTGGGGGAGGTGCCGTACGACTATTAGATTCTAACATGCTCCTTGGGGCGAGGGCGGATCTTCTTCCTCTTCAACGCTGACACTTTCGAATACTCGTAAGACAATACTCGTACATGCTATGTGAAGGAAATTGATGGACTTGCCATTAACTGTACAATGCCATATACACCTTCACCCAATGTTCTGAGATTAATCAAGTCTTAAGGGAACCCTGAACGATCTCCTCACCGTTATCTTCACTCTCTCATCTTCAGCAATCACCGGTTCAGCCAAGGATACCCGATTTCCCGTAATCCTTGAGTACTCACTTGATCGACAACTTTTCCGTTCTGGACGAGTCTCCGACGAGAATCCTTCTGGACCCTCTCGCTCGGTTGATCCAGTAATTCCAGCATTTGGCAGGTCAGCCTGTCGAAAAGACACACGCTCACTAGCAACGGTGTATTCGGGAGACATACTTGATGGGATCCGCCTAGCCCTGTTTGTGTGCGGGTCCGACACGGAGCTGAGCCGATCAAGTCGCTGTTTTTCATCCAACCTAAGACGTGATGCTCTGTAGGTTTCATAACTGAGCAGATTCTGCTCAGCAAACGGTGTGGTCTGTTCTTCCTCAGTGCGATCAATGCGATACGTTGCTTCTGTACATCCATGTGCTGCTTCGACATCCATACTCACGATGATTGACAACTTATATGACTCAAGACTCGAAATGCTCGAAAGACCTCCGAAAACTACACACATAAGGAACAAATAGCAGAACAACTTATCGCCCATTTATGACAGGCAGTAACGTAAACTCCTCGGTGATAACACCTGTCGAATCCTGTCGATTGGATTACGCGAAGAGAACGGCAACAATAGATCCAACCAAAATCGAAGCCACACTGCCCAAACCGTAAGCATCGCTTGTGGGCGCAGCTGTGGTGGTAGCAGCGGGATGAGTAGTTTCTCCAGCAGGGTCTATAGTCATGCGGCTGCTGGTTGTAGTACTGGAAGTGGTGGTAGTAGTTGTCTTGGTGGAAGTAGTAGCAGTTGAAGTAGTCGAGGTTGTCGATGTCTTGGTAGAATTCTGGGAAGTGGATTGACTAGCAGTGGTGCTGACACTCGAGGTTGAAGTAGAACTGGTAACAGACTCGGAAGTTGAGCTAGGGCTTTGCGTGGTCGAAAGAGCCTCAGTGGTGGTAGAAGCAGCCTCAGTGGTGGTAGAAGCCGCCTCAGTGGTGGTAGAAGCAGCCTCAGTGGTGGTAGAAGCCGCCTCAGTGGTGGTAGAAGCAGCCTCAGTGGTGGTAGAGGCAGCCTCAGTGGTGGTAGAAGCCGCCTCAGTGGTGGTAGAAGCAGCCTCAGTGGTGGTAGAGGCAGCCTCAGTGGTGGTAGAAGCCGCCTCAGTGGTGGTAGAAGCAGCCTCAGTGGTGGTAGAGGCAGCCTCAGTGGTGGTAGAAGCAGCCTCAGTGGTGGTAGAGGCAGCCTCAGTGGTGGTAGAAGCAGCTCAGTGGTGGTAGAGGCAGCCTCAGTGGTGGTAGAAGCAGCCTCAGTGGTGGTAGAAGCAGCCTCAGTGCTAGTAGGCAAAGTGGCAGTGGTAGTAGAAGCGGCTCCAGTGGTGGTAGGGGCAGCGTTAGGCAGTGGTCGCAGCAGTAGTTGTAACAGCAGCCTCAGTAGTGGTACTCTCTGAAGTAGAAGCGGCAGATGTAGTGGGAGCCTTGTCAGTAGTCGTGGTTGTAGTAGTGGTAGTAGTAGTAGTAGTAGTAGTAGTGGGAGCCTCGGTAGTCGTGGTAGTGGTGGTAGTAGTGGTAGTGGGAGCCTGAGTCGTCTTAGGTAGAGGTGCCGGGCTCGTAGGCGGTGGAGGCATCTCGCTTGCTCCGTATCCAGTACACTGATAGAGCTGTGGATTGCATGAAGTTTTATCAACACATGCAAGGCATTTAGCAGAGCCAGGTCCTGCCAGGCATTGCATCATGCAATGCTGACCACCGCAGGCCACGGAGGTTCCATAGCATTGTGCGCAACTTTCCGAAAGTGCTCCATCCGTACCATCAACCAAGCACTTCGTACTGCCCGAAGCAGAACCGAAAGACACAACTCCACAGTAGCCAATGAAATTCCCGAAGTCCTGACCGTAGGACATCCACAAGTCGTGGTCAGCCTGTGTGCATTGACCAGCGGCGGCAACAGCCACTACAGCAGAAAAAGAAATAGCAGAACGCATCTGTTCGGTTGTGGCGAAAACTATTGTACTGAAGGGAAGGTGAATGCTAGAGGTAGCTCTCGGGCAAAATCTATTGTGTGTCACTGTCTCAGCGTTGTCTCCTTTCTATAACCATCCGAGCAAAGACTCTCCACTCCACACAAACGACGCGCTCATGTCGAGGAGGCTATTGGGACAGGTTCCAAGTTAGACCCAGTGGACCATAGAATATGGTGTGGTCCACTGGGTCAGACCCAGCGAGTTCCAGAATCATTGGGTGTTAAAATGGTATAACAAAGTAGGAGGCAGTTTCAGGAAAAATCATACCAATAAAAGAACGTCATAACAAGTCGAACAATCGCTATGACGTCATTGTGTTGGCATCTGTGCCTGTCCCCGTTTGTGTGGCTGTGTGTGAGAAGGAGGAATACTCATCCGTACTCCGTACTCTCATCCGTCACTTTCAGAATTCTGATCAGATACACAACTCGGCATTTCGAATATTTTCCTGGCTTGTCATCGAGCAACTGCTCCTCTACTCTTGTGACTATTCTACCACTAACGTCAATGTTATTGATCAGCCTTCCCACACTATGAACTAGCAACACAACATTGAGCCCGTTAACATCAAATACCTCCTATCGAGAACATGACATGATCATGCACTAACTATTTGCCTTTGGGCAGCCTAAATGTTCCCAGGAAGGCCTACACTGACCAGCACTTGATCGGCCTTCTCTACAACATCCTTCTCCATATCAGCGACAGTAGCTCTGGCACTCCTTAAAGCCTCGTCATCGAGTGCATTCTGTTTCTGTTCCATATCAGCCAACTTGTCCCGTATTCTCTCAACCAGAGCCTCTGTACGATTCGAGACCTTAGCCTCTTCAACCCTCATCCGTTTCACAGTAGCCAACATGTTGCTCTCGAACTCCTTGCTCTGAACATATCCCATATCGAGTTTTCTATGAAGCTTATTGACCTCATCAACTGACTTGGTGAGGACATCCTCCGTCTTCAACATGGCTTGATGTAACCTCATAGTAAGTTGTTCGATGAACTCAGTGTCGTCTTTCTGGAACCGCTTCAGATGCCTGCTCATCACTTGAGAATATTCATCCCACAACTGCAGAATGCTCTTCACCGCTTGCCTTGTATGAGCGAGGCGAATGGCGATATCACTGCTATCGCCAGCCTCAGCACCATCGAAATCCATTTGAATCTTCCCAAGTTCTCCCATCACATTGGAGAGAGTCTTGGTCATCCTAAGCTTAGTTTCTTGGGCCTCCTTGAACACCCCAGATATATTGTTCTTAGCAGAATGTTCCAAGCCTTTGAATATCGCTTCTTCATGCTTTGCCAATGTCGCCGAGTGATCCCTCTCAGCCTCAGTCTTCTCCAGCTTTCGTTCATTGCCCATATGAGCCGTCTCAATATCGAACTTGTTGCCAGCCCTCCCCTCCTGCAACTCCTTAGCAACTAACGAGCCAGCCTGGACCACTGCTCCTCCTGCTCCGGAGAGAAGACCCGTGTCCCTCTCACCAAACTCCTTCACTTCATCACCCAGATCGTTATTCTTAGCACCAACAGCGTCCCCAATGGTCTCAAGGTTACCCGTAACCCTTCTCATGCTCTCCTGCACTTCCTGAGTTCTCTCGTTGTTCACGCCATCATACTTCAACAAGGAGCTCTTGGTCTTCGTATCATCAGCACGGTCCTTCTTGGAGAGCATCTTGAGTTGTTCCATCACTCTGATACCCTCCTCAGCCTCATCTTTCTCCTCCTCTGTCTCCGCCGTATTAGCCCTCTCATTAAGCTTGGTAATTCTAAGATCGATGTCCCTCGTCGAGTCAAGGGCCTCCTTCTCAATCTGCTGTGCTGCCTTGTCGAACACCTGTGGGATGTCCGCGAGCTTTCTCTCGAGTACTTCGGTTTTCTTGGACAAACGGCTAGCCTCTCCGCCAGATACTTCCCTGAACACCACAACCAGACACTATCCACCATCGACATACTGACCATAACTTACGCAAATCTCGTATTCAACTTGGCCGACTCATCGTTGAACTCTGTCCTCGTAAACTCGATTCCTTGCAGGATGGCATCTAGCTCATCTTCAAACCTGATGCATAAGTGTACGTCGCGACCAGAATTTCCACGAGGCGCCAAAGCTACTCGCTCAAATAGACTCACCCCTTGGTGTGCTTATCGAATCGTGTAGCGTCCGATTCCAGCTTCTTGGTCATCACCTAAAGAGGTACTAACATGGCAAAGCTAGTGTGATGATGACCGCATAACAAGAGTGGCCAGCGAATTCCTACACTTGATCGTGTCTTGTCTGCCAGGTACTGCTTCTGGCCGTGATCGAGCTCACTCTGCGCCTTAGCCAACACCTCCTTCGTGCGGCCGCTGGTCAAATCAAGCCCAGATTTCAACTGCAATGACAAAAAGAGATTCCCGTCGCTCCACTAGTCCGCGACATATTCGATACCTCTGCCCGGATATCCTTCTCAAGACCTCCTTGAATCTTAGAGAAGTGCCCTCGCAAGGAATCGACCTCATGTTCGCTGCTGAGAGCTTGCTCATCCAGAGTTCGTCTGAGGCAGCTCCAACTGCAACCAGAAAAAAACACAACCGACTCACGTGAACTGATTCGATTCCTCAGCCAAGTCCTGCGCCTTCTCCGCCATCACATGCTCCATATCCTTTCCAATCTAAACGGCTCCAATACGGCGACAGTGGCAAACAGTTCCCCCACATCTGCAAGATCAACTTGAAGTTCTTGCCCTTTCCGAGCGCTCGAGCTCATCTTGGAACTCAGCTCTCTTTCGCTACGGAAATTCTCCGACTCGACATTCTGAAAGCAGCAAGTTCTACTACCACTGAGGAGCCCATATCCCTTCTCACTTGAATGTCTCGTGAAGCCTCACCAGCCACTTGCCTAAAGCCTCTACTAGCCGCATTACTCTCCTCCTCCACTGCCCGCCTCCCATTAGAATGAGAGGTCGACATCACTCTAGACAGCGCGCTCGCCTGAAGGAGTCCATCATCTGGTGACAGTGACACTACACTCTCTTACGAACGCGGCCTCCTGTTTGGAGATAGAGCGACCGAGGTGAGCAAGTGTCGACCTAGAATCTCGCTCCTGTGACATGTATTCGGACTTAATACTATGCTCCTCTGAAGTGAGACAATCGACCACCCTCTGGTTCGCCCTGCTCATCACCTCTTTCTATCCCAGCCACAGCAGCGTCAACACCCTTGGCAGAGAGCAATGCATGTTTGACGGCATTGAGATGAGCCTGAGAGTCTCTCTGAAGCAACCTTTCACTGACCTTCCCTTACTCTCCTGTTCGCAGCCATTGTCATCTGTGCTTTATCTTCCGTATGTTCGAGATCCCGAATGGCGCCCTTCATTCTGTTCTCAGTCTCCCTTACACTTTGAGTCACCTTACCCTGACAGATAACACCAATCACCCTACACTTCATCAGAGCAACATGCCTACCCCGACTTCCCTCTCAGTTGCATACGTCTGAGACTTCAATGCTGATCCCTCTTGTTGCATCTTGATCGCCAGTCCGTTCATGCTCTCTTGCAAGGCAGCACTACTGTGCGTGATTTGCGCCCTAGAAGAGAACCCTCGGATAGCTGCTTTCCAAGCAAACTCACCCAAGGGCATTGATTTGCATCTTCAAATTCGCCACGAGCCCAGTCTCTCCAGACCGGAGGGCATCTTGCAACTGCATAACCAAGCCGCCCATCTTGCTCTGTTGCATGCCCAGCTGCCTCTGCATGCCAATAACCTTACCTGACACCAAAGACACATCACAAAGAGCTTCTCAGACAAGTACCCTACTCATGACACTGCGCATCTCCATACGGGCTGAACTGTCCATAGCGCGGTCGGCGTTCGCCACTGAACTGTCCATAGTCATAAATATATCACCAAGATGAGACCCCGATGATTCTAACAACCGAGACTGAGTACAGCAAACAGGAGATCCTCAGTCACCCTACCCCGTAGCTCAGAAACTGCCCTCTTCAGTGGAATCAAGCGCTCCTTTCTCTGTTGTTCCAAATCAGAGGAGCCTGTCTGCATCCCGTCCTCGAACTTCCCCAACAGAGCTGCAAAGCAACGTAGTAATCTCACTTATCATCATCTCACTCACCTTGAACCTTCTTCATTGCCTCCTTGAGATCACCAGACATGTCACTATCATGCGATACCGGAGCTTCAGTCTCATCTGGGAGAGTCATGAGTGAAAATCACCCATAATCTGAACCCAGCCATCCTACTTCTATACCGCTCCACACGCTCATCAGCCTTGCTTTCAGCCCTGTCGTACTTCTTTCGCATCTCCTCCTACGACGAAGCGAAGTTCAATATCGCCAAGCATGTAGAGTGTCCCTTACTTCCAAGGAGTCGACATCCTCAGTCTGTTGCTGTACCTTCATCTCACCCTCCTTCCGACGAGCCTCTTCGCGCTCCTATAGCCGCACTCATGACCCATCGATACTGCTGCAAAGACGAGTCCCTCGCTCACATTCGCCTCGGTCGATGCATTATCAATCTGCTTCTCTCCTGATTCCATCAGTTTATCAGTTTCTCCATCAGTTCGTTTCCTGACGGGACCGAACAGTATTAAGTTCACATCTGATTCTCGCTTGAGTCATGCAAAACTCACGTGAACTCATTGAGAGTATGGTCAGCAGCAATTTCCAGTGAATTTCTGACTTTATCGATTTCCTCTTCAGCTTTGCTTTGTGCCTTCTCATGAGCCTCGAGTGCAACCTCTGGCACTTCTTCAACTTGATCTACAAATCACCCACATTTTCATGCATACTCGAGAGCACCTGTTGAGCCTACCTGACAAGTCATCCAGAAGGTTCTCTGCATCTCCCAAGAACCCCTCTGTGGACTTCTCCATGCTATCCCTAGCCACCTCAGTCTGTCTCACTCCTCTCTCGACGGGAATCTAGAGACATCTTCTACACATAACAGAGGAGAAGAGTCGAACCTTACTTGGCCCTTGTTGATAGAACCAACCGCTTGCTGCATGTACTGGTTGCCGAGCTTATTCAGACTGATCATATTCTGCATCTGTGCTTCAGCTTGCATGCTGCTTTGGAACTGGATCCCTTTCACTAACTGAGAAGGAGGGCATTTCTATCGCACAGTTGGCTCTCCCATTCCCACCATATCGAGCCGTTTGTCAGCTTCCTCCTTCATAGTATCAATATCAACAGCAATGCCATAATGGACCTTGTCAAGTTCCGCCCAAGCCTCGTCAGCAGCGGCCATCTACCGGACGAATGAGGAGGAGCTTATCACCCACAAAGGTCACTCACCGCAGCATCTTTCAACGAGAGAAGGGAGCCAGCAAGAAGGCCAAACTCGCTGATCAATCCTGAGTTCTTGCTGGGATTATCCTTGCTAAACCCAGGGCCATCTGAAGAGAGCGGCCAGTCAGCTCATCATCGACTCACGAGCATTCCAAACTCACACGTGAGACCCATCGCTTCCTCCAGCTCAGCGTTAGCGAGCTTCCATCTCTGCTTGAGACTCTAAAAAACGACAAGTTGCAGTCATGACCGATGACGCAGACTGTCACACAGCGCCTTACATTAGCTTGACTCTGGAGCTGAGTGTTGTCCTGATGGAGCTCCTTCATGGGTTTCAGCATCCCTTTGATCAATTGATATCTGCCGCATGCATGGGACCAGAGAGAGGATGACCACAAACCTACCTCCTTCTATGGCAATCAGCGTCATCTCCGTCGGGGTCGCTGCCACGAGACTCGCAAGCTCTCGCTGGACTATCATTCTTCCTCCGACGATTCTTATGGAACAGAGTCATCTCAGCCCGAGAGTCCACCTGCATTGACAACAACAGCAGTAGAGCATTCACTGTTCATGGGAGCATTGTTCACTTTGGATAGCATCTCGATGAGTTCAGATTCTGAGCCAATATCTGGATACTCTGTCACCAGCTCGCGGACCTGTAAAGAAGAAGGTAGTAGTAAATGGATATAGAGAGGGCTATGATTGCTCAACAGAAGCTCGAGGAGCTATACGCTCTCACTAAAGGGGACTCAGTTGTGGTGACAGCAGCCTACAGACATTACGAACACATTGTTCCAATCAAAGCAAAAACCTAATGCCCTCTCAAACGCCCATTGTAAGGACCGTCCAGGAAAGGCAAAGAGAATACTTTCCAGATATTCGAGTACAGTTCCAAGACTTTCCAGACGAAAGTAGAGAAATGCGATGATTGCTGCTATGAATTGTAGTAAAAGGTTACCTCATCTTCCCAACCGGGGGATCGAGCACGATGAGCTAATAGCTCGTGGATGTTCGCATCATCTTCAATGTCCTGACAACATCAACTCTGATGGCTAATCTCGGACCTCTTTTGCATCTTTCGCGCTGAACCTCAGGATATGCCCCTCGCTTACTTCTTCCGCGTTTCCAATTGCTAGACAGGTCCACACGAAGAGAGCTGACCGTAGAATCATTACAATTCCAAATTGATGAACGGTAATGGCTTCAGGAAGAACAATACATACCATCAAACTCAACCCGCAGCACACGATCGTAGAATGCGATCCGAAGCTGCGCCGACAAAAGCGCGCGCCCAAAAATGCTCAAGTTCGAGCATGTCGTGTTGCCGTGACATTCCTGCTTCCCTGGTTGCTTAACAGACTTACTAACGAACCGAAGAGATTAAGTACCAAACGGAAACAGTAGAAAACATATGATACGTAGATTTAGACGGTGGCATCCTTCTTCTCTTCTTCCTTCTCTTCTTTCTCTTGCTGGACCTCACTCCTCTCCAATGCAGGCCTCTCCATAGCACGCCACACCCCCTCATATTCAGTTGTGAGAACTTCTGTGTTGAAATCACAAATGTAACGAGCGAAGGATTCCTCAGTAAAGTAAGGGGGAGGTAGGACGTTTGGTATAAAACCTCCACGAGCTTCGGTCATAGTACTTGCATCATAGAGGCATTGCAAGAACTGTCTGCACGCCCTGTAGGGTACGGAATCACGAATGTTCTGATAGAGAAAGAGTAAAATTCATTAACCATACCAATCACCCACCTCCTCATAGCCCCGATGTGTGCATATAATCCACGCCCCTCCGGTGACAGGGTTCGTAGGTGTCACCAGCTGAGTGTGGTAGAACGCCAAAGCCAATATTTGGAGAATACCGGCAGACCACCTGCAGCGAAATCAGCATATCAACCCTCCTCACCCTCGCTATCATCTCACCGAGTCAGTAGTGTACTTTGTGGTAGACCTATAATGAGCGCTCGATGAGGATGGCAGTTGAGTGCCGCCATGATAGGACCAAGCCACTCCCGACGGTGTCTCAACTCGTACTCTGTCAACTCGATAGGATAAGGGCATGCACTGTCTGCAGAGTAGCGAATCAGTATTCAATAAGAGCTGAGACCCCGCTGACCCCACCTCGAGAGATCCTCACAAAGATAGAATCAAGAGGTTCCGACGTCGCCTCTGGTGGCAGCAATGCAACCACATCCTTGTGTCTGTCTGGGAGCTTGCTCGAACTCGATGTACCCAGCTCGCAACGGATGATACGCTCGCACTCGATCACTGACTCTGTAGGACTCGCTGGGTTAATCTCAAGAACCCTCCTGATGATGAACACATCCACTATAGCCACTTCGCTTGACAGCTTACTCCCCAAGAGAGACCTCCACAAAGCCCGCCACTTTCCTTATCTCCTCGAGCGCACTCTCGTCTTCTGCTGGTTTCGGCACTTCCACTCTGCCACTCTGCTGCTCCCATGCCGCTTCAGTGCGATAATAGACGACTTTATCAAGAGCATCCGAGTCAGCGAACTTGGATAACTTCACTTCATAGGGCTCCAACGGCACCCCACACTCAGTGAACCTGACAGACCAAGCCTTGCCCTCTCACATACCACCACCCTCTACGTACCATGACTCTTTCAAATAGTCACCGCTACTGATTTTCCCCAGCAGAGTATTCTCCAGCTCCCTCCTCATCTGCACCAGCCACATGCCACCCCTCCACACTCGATAACGCCCTCTCACTTTCATTGCCGGCTTGGCATGCATCACCATCGGCCCGCCAGAAGACTCCCCTACAGAGCCGTGCCCAAGACCTCGGCGATCCGTGGGCCGCCGGTTCTCCACTTCAACTATCGGGTTGCCATGCTTGAGACCCCTGAACAACGTGAAGGGTTATGCACATGTAGTCAAATACATGTGGTGATGACAATGAGTAAATCCTGAAATTCTTTTTGGTTTCTGTACACTCTAATCTCAAGAAAGCGAACATATATTCCTCCAACTCTAGTCGAATTCTCATCCTCCCACTCACTCTCCTGTCAACCCCGCTTTCTCCAACAGTGCCTTGCTCAAGTTGCTGCCAATAGCCGGCACCTTCTCCTCTGACATAACAGTTTCCTCACCCAAGCACTATTCCTTCTTCCTACCATCCTCCTCTGCTCGAGCCCCCTTCATCACCGTCGAACCGCCTTCAGTCGGGACGAACCCAGCATGTGGCTTCTCCTTAGCTAGGTCTGCTCTCCGACCCTGAGTCTGCTCATAGAGCCTCCTAAACTCGGCCCTAGAAGACTGAGTGCCGCTCTTGTTAGCTCTACCAGCTGTCGGCAAGGACCTACCGCACCAATCTCAACTTCTTCCTTCCCTCCCTCCCTCCCCCCCACTCTCACCTGGTACTGTTGATATTGCCCCCTTGATTTAAAGGAATCGCCGGATCAGGGACAATCTTATCCTCCTCCTTAAGACGACGTAAGTCCAACCTCTCAATAAAAGCTGTCGGATAACTGAGCAAGAGAGACCTTCCCACCAGCCATCCCCCCATCACGAATCACCTCCTTTTCCTGGCATTGATCAGCTGCTTTTCCTCGAAGGGGAATTCTTTGAAAAGACGTAGATTGCGCTCAATGTAGTCTGTCTGCTGAGTCGAGAAGTAAGCTGAGCACTTCGCAAAAGCCTCCGTGAAATCCTCGGACATCCAAGCATCTACCAAAATCAACAACAACCATCATCATCCGACTCCTACTACTACTACTACTACTACTACTACTACTACTACTACTACTACTACTACTACTAAGCAGGAAAAATCCAGGGACCTATAACGCTCTCCGGAGGAACTACTTTTCAACATGACTAGGAACACAGTCTCCCACGTGAATGTCATCACATTAGGAACATACTCCTCATTCTTATCAAACTTTTGGGATCGTCATCTCCCAAGACTAGATAAGTCCCTGCTACTAAGGCGGGCTCTATCAAATTCCAGGATGCGATAGCTATCTAGAAGGCGTCCTTCTCACCCGGCACAATAGCCCTCTCGATCAGCTCGTCATCACCCGCCTCAATGCCAGCCCACAAGGCGTCATCCTCCATCAGCGCCATCAGACGGTTCAGCACTGCCGAACGGATAAAACCAAAACCAAGGCCGACTACATAAACCTAAACAGGAAAGGGCTCTCTCAATTTCAATAAACAGCAATAGCTTGCTACCTCCGAATTCCCAGGTTTACTCATCTCCGGTTTGCACACTATACATCGATCAAACATAGCTCGGACCAGCCAGATGATAGCCTTAGAGGAGGGCTCAAACAGTGTGAACATTTTCAACACCTACAACGACGATTCAAAGCAGACCTTCTCTCTATAGGGGGCTTTACTGACCAGCGATCCTCCAGTACGTAAAAGGCCGAGTGCTGCCACCAACTCCGAGAAATGCAGTCGAGTCGTGATCCGTTCCTGGTTGTTTGCATCGAACCTGCCCGGAGCACAGCGGTGAATAGTCGACATCTCCCGTCCAGCCTCCCCACTGTGAATCCACAGAGCCATCTGCCGTGACTATATCGCACACTTGCTGTTTCCTCTGTGCCCTCTCAACCAAATCTCGAACATTCCTATACGCCTACAAAGAGAGTAGTAGAGCCGGGCTGCGTACCAGTCCTTACCATAATGTTGCCGCTATCATCGACCCCAGTGCTCCACTTGAGATAAGTCTCTCGATAAAAGGCGTCATCGTCAATCATTGCTGTCAGACTGTTCCCTTCAAAGTACCTACACGAAGCCGTCCCCCCTAGAGAGGCCGCCGCCCCTGTATAATACGGATTCAACGTTATAGCCATCCACTGCCAGTTCTTCATCCTCGGATGCTTAGTTCTTAGGTGGTGATTGGTAGCAGATATGAATCCTCCAGGGCACTCACAAAGATGCATGGTCCCTATATAGATCAGTAAGAAGGGCTCACCGTCATGCACTACCCCCTACTTATATTGCCATCTACTCCACCATCGCCTCCCTCCTCTTCACTCTTACAGACCTCTTTGGGCACGAGAGGCATGGCCTCCAGCATCTCCATCATCTTACACCAGGCGTTCGTACACAGCTCCGCCTGGGAATAATTTCTCACTTCCCGTACCACAAACGACGTAACCTAAGCACAATAGAATCAGCTGGCACCCTCGTCGACATGCCAGAGGGTCCAAAGGAGGTATAGTGGAACCAGGGGAAGCGAAATCCAAAGCCCTCGAGGGCCGCTCTCCAGAGCTGCTCGAATTTTCCCCTACTAGTGGACCAACTGAACCTCTTCGCAAGATTCGAGGATGATTCTGCGCTATCGATAAATTCAATAAAAACCGTCGCGCGCCGACAACGTCATCGAAGAATCTCACCCCTTGCCCTCCCAAGTACTACGAGTGTGCTCCTCGTATGAGGTTTCCACGACTCCAAGTCGAGACCGTCCAGCTGGCACTTGGTCTCGTTAAGCTTCCTCTTAGCCTCCTTCACCGTATCGGGTATTCTAATATGACCATTCGCCTCGAAAAGTTCGTCCGTAGGCTACTACCCTGCATTCCGAGGATGGGAAGTCGCCCCCAGTGTATTCGCTGTGTCACAGATGCACTGTTTCTTCTCCATCTTGCATTTCTCACATGGTTCAGCGGAGTGTGGTAGGTTCCGCATGAAGTCTCTATCAGGGTTCTCAGCGCGAGGGAATTCGTAAAGGTGCTTTATGATATCAGTTTTGAGCATGTTCCTGTCCGGAAAGTAGTGCGGCAATGGTTTATTCTCATCATAGTCAGGCTGTCGCTCTCCCCATCCCTTCCCACTCCCCCACCCTCCTTTTCCCTTCCTACGCTTGTTCTGATGATTGTAATCATAATCGCGAGGTCTCTTATAGTTTGACCACCGATAACCTCCTCCTCCTCCTCCACCACTACCCCAATCGTTGTTCCTCCCATAGCCTCTATTACTCCGACCAGACGACTGCTCGCCCCACCCTCCCCCACGGCTCTGACCCCACCAAGAATCTCTACCACCATTCCAGCCACCAGCACTCCCTTTACTGCTACTATTACCCTCAGAGCTACCCTTCCATTTCGACCAATCATCATTACCCCATGACCCACCTCCTGTGCTTTTCTGATAATCGTTCCCCAAAGAGTAAGACCCAGCCGAGCCTCCCTCACTCTCATTCACTTGCATAGAGGTAGCCCCACCGCTCGCCTCTCTCTCCCCATACCCCAAAGAGCCCTCCTCTACTGCCGCACCCCTGGTACCCCCATCTTGCTGGGGCTCAGACATGCCAAATCAACTCTGAATACCACAGAATGGGAGAATATGCACATGGTCAACTACTAATGACAATATGAAAATTCTGAAGACATTTCGAGAAATTCTTGTTGGTTTCTGTACACTTCCACGCCAATCCGTCACTAAACCTGTATAGTTAGTGAGGAAACTCCTAAACTCAACTGAGGAGAGCAAACATATATTCCAGCACAGGAATACCACCAATCAGAGACGACCGCCCCTACTACTACTGAACTAAACACTGTGTTAGAGTAGTTCATTATAAGAAACAACAAGGTACGGTAAACGGACCCTGTAGAGAGTCTACATCTTTTTCTCAGCTAAACTATTGGCCCACTTTCGGCACCCTTTAGCCGCCTCCCTCATAGCCCGAGTCCTCAACGCCTCTACTTCGCAAACCGCAGCCCCAACAGATCTCCCCAAGCCGTAAGCTGCTATCTGCCTCAGCGTAGGACGACTCAGCTCAAGACTCTTAGAACATGCCATCAACGCATCCTGCATTCTATGAGAGAAATGCCTCACCAGTTTTCGCATTGGTGATTTCTTGGACAAGGCTCTGGTCGAACGAACCACCAGGCCGAAAATAGAAGGACCAACATACTGACCAAAATAGGACACTTCCTCTACAGCTCTACGACAGTCATCATCCTCCGCCCCCGCCCTGTGAAGATTCGTACCCGTCCTCAAGTACTTCTCAACGACATCCTTCATCACTTGCTCGAGGATATCCTCGGCCTCCTCCTTACCACCATTCTCAGGGGCCACCTTAAGACTCTCCTCAGCCCTGTATAACAATGCTGGCAATGCCGCTACTGGTCGCCCAGAAGGTAGTTCCTCCCCAGCCAGACTCTTGAACTCCTCACACTCCGCTCGCTCTTGAGGCGGCACGTCAACCTTCTGGCGCATCTCTAAAACGAGCCTTCTCATCGGATGCATGAGGGACATATCGTCCAAGGGCTCGGTAATTGGCCGAGGTCTGAGCTCCTGAGTACCAATAATGGACCCTAGCGCCGTCAAGGGCTCCTCCGGCGTCCGTGAACATGTAAGCACTGCAGAGCTGCCCTTAACCTTAGGACCAAGGATAGCTGGTGGTATAGCAAAATGGATGGGAGTGAGATCCTGATCGACCCCACCAGGACCTCCCATGATGCTGCTCAGGTTCGTCCGACACCCAGCTCTGAGGTATTCCTCAACCCTACCCCAAAGGCCTTCTTGTAGGGTTAACAGTACAGTGTCACTCATGTCCGAGTCGAAGTCTCGGACATGCTCTACTGCTGCTGGTTTGTTACCAGTCAACCAAAGCAGTGTTCGATGCTGGGCGTTTTTCAAGTCATTCAAAGCCTGATAGGAAGAACCTCATCAAACTCATCTACGTGAACTGTATAGTACCTCTTGTCTCTCCTCGCCAATATCCGTAATACCAAGGCCCCCTTTAAGGATTACTATCTCTAATACCGACAGGTGGTCACAAGTAGGATGTCGTTGCCGAGCTGCTCGACACACCGCAAAGGCTGGGATGGGCTCATGACGGCCAACAAGAGCCTGAGACGCTCCAATAGAGACCACCCGACTGCAAGCTGAGGCCTACCACAATAGCACAGATGATGAGCATCCTGCCAATAGAGCATTCCTCCCCTTCTTCCTGTTGTTCACTCTCCTCCTCATCCCAACTCTTCCCCAGCTCGATCAACTGCTCTACTGGTACTTCCTCAGGTACCAGGGCCGAGGCTATGCGAGCTCTGGTCAGCATCCGTTGCCGGAAGGGCTTCCCAGTCTGCGTTGAGCTACTGCTGCCGTTGATGCTCATCTCAGACAACTTGAGCATTCGCTTGCCCAGGTCCACGGCTTGGGTAGTGGTGAGGGCCGATAGATAGGGCCGCACGGCAAAGTAACAGGGAGAGGTATGTCCAAACGACTGAGGAGGCGACGTAGAAGAGCGTAGTGATGTAGTGTAGAGTATTACCTCAACATAGCTCTCCAGTTGAGCTACAAGGTCAGCCGTGTGCCCACTGGTGACAGCCAGGAGCATCATCCCGAGCCTGGCCAGAGATGAGCATGGTATACCCCCATAACTCAACGAGGTGTTGCCATGCCTGAGCATAGATGTAAATCCCAGGAGATCCTCAAGACCCTTAGACTTACGACTCTCTATCCTCATGGTCGGATGGCCGCTCCCCAATGGTCCCCTCCTGCAACCAGTCCTTCACAGAAGCTACGTTGCTATCGGATCCACTAGAAGTGGCCAAGTACACAGCCTCCCTTACCGTCCTCATGTTAGGGGTGGGATCTAATATAACAGCGTCTCAAGAGGTTATCCATGCCCTTACTAGATGTACCAGCAAGCACTGCCGTGAGGGCCTCGTTTAGCTGCCCTGCCTTCTCATAGATCTCCGCTCGTAAGCGGCACTTCTCTCCTTCGCTGGTAAATGCCCCCAGCTTGTCCACAGTAGCGATGGCCTCTTCCCATTCCTCATTAGCCACCAAAACACTGAGCCAAAGGAGCTGCTTCGATGCCTCTCGACGAGGTGTGGTATCCTCGGAAGGACTGCCGAGGACCTGAAGACGACCCCCTACCCCCTACTGTCACTTCAAGCTGTCAATCTACTTTGCTGAGAGATGCCTTGGCAAGCCTCAAGAGAGGATCAGTTGACTTCGGCCGAGACAGTAATACAGCCAAAACGTAGCCGCATAAGAACTGCTGCGACTTGCTGGGTATAGCCTTGGCCCTGAGAGGAGTGTCTCAACTCTTGTGTATTCTCAACAACGACCCTAGTACAGTCTCATAGCAGCCTGTTGTGCTGCTGTCCAATTGGCTACTCTAAGTGCAGCAACGTAGACAGTCGTTAGGCCCTCCTCCAGCTCTGGACCATCCTCAGCCCCCACGGCCTTCTGATACATAGTCAATACAGGTTCATAAACAGAGTTAGCACGGTATACCTGGGAAAACAATGAGCACCCACTACTAGTGCTCCTACTAGTACCACAGCCATGGTAGATATCAAAGTGTCCTCGGTAGGAGGACCCTCCTTCATTATCTCATCGCATAAGGCTAACGCCTCGGGGTGCCGACCGAGGCGATCCAGCGCCACTGACGCCAAGGCCCTGAAGAGGAGGAATACAACGGTGCATATGAGTGACTACAGACGGTACTTAATCATCTGATTGTCAGGTGTTATGGATAGTTGAGCATTAGCAAGCTTGAGCGCTTGCTTGCTGTTGCCACCATCTAGGGCCTCGTAAATAGCCTTCAATTTTCGAGTGGCTGAGGCGTTGTCGTGATTGCCCTTGGCCATTCAATATTGATGAGGAACTGGAGAGGAAAGAGGACTCAGCAGAGATGCTCGAATCGAAGAGGAAATATTCTACGCTGATCGATATACATACAGCAAAGACAACTCAGATGGCATCGAGCACCAGGCTAGGACTTCTTTACCCGTCGCCACCAAACCCGCGCAGGTTCGAATCCACCCCCATCCCCAAGTCCGTAGTATCTTGAGCCAAACGCACGGTGACGCATAATGTGATGAAGTGAATGCAGGTAATGTTCGATGCTCCCTCTCATCCTGTTATGACCAACGATAAAAGGCATGCTTCCAATAACGGACCCTCATCGAGAGAGGAGCTCTCCGACGCAAGCCTACCTCTTTTGCAGGATCTACCGCAGGACCATTGGCAACAACACAGCGACTACCAACAAGGTAATACGGTATATGTATAAGATGCTCTCCCACCAGTGCCTGATACAGCACCATCGCGCTACCCACCTCCTCGGCCGAGAGCAGTCATCCCGTCACTGTACGAACCATCTAGTCGACTACTAGGGCCACCTGGGAAGGACGACTTGGTAGTGTATTGGGGATGGACGGGTGCCCTCTTGGTACTACTAGGCTTAGCTGATGTGTGAGTGGAACATTGTGGAAAAAATATGCGCATACTCAACGACGTGTGTTGGTGACAACAGGAAAGTTGTGAGGGAATTTTGGGAAATTCTGTGGAATTCTCTTCATGCGTACGAATTTGGGAAGAAATGTTCAGAAACTAACAAGAATTTGCCGAAATTTTCTCAAGAGTTTTTACACCATAACCAGCACACGTAGTTGAAGACCATGTGCATATTTGTCACACTGAACTGTGATGCGTATGTCGTACGACATATGGTGATACTTCTTAGAGTAGAAGTCATCTTGACGACGCAGTCCCTGGCCGCTCACGGAGGTGCTATTCTGTCGACCCCGATGCGGAGCGGAGTTTCCCCTACTCTGCCGTAAATCCCACCCCTACTACCCAATCGTGGTTCACCGTAGCAGCTCCAACTGATCTCCATCGAGCCCAGCAAGAGCATGATCAGCATTCTATAGACAGCAGGTCAGCTTAGTCGCGATCCTCCAGTGCCGACTCGCCCTGCCTCAGAGTTGAGGGTGAAAAGTCTTCTTGGCAACGACAGAATCTGAAGATGTTCATACAGGGTGGCCGGCGAAGCCTCATATCGCATAAAGGGGAGCTCAACGTTCATAGACTTATACCTAATAGAACTAAGGTAACGACTTCCCATACGATGGTATGGCATTCGTGCCGATGATAGGTTTATCTCAACTGGTTATATGACACTTTCCCATCTATCATAAGGCTCCACTATGGTACTCTATTCTTTGCAGTCTTCGTCGTGTAATAATGCTCAGACTAAATCTTGCCCTTATTTGTATTTATCTCTGTGTTAGATATGTTATGGCCATTTTCATATACGCACTATGCTTACAGGCGATTGATCCGCGCTATGCCTGTGCGAGTAGCGTTCGATGCTTTTCTGACTACTACTTCTTCGTGGTAGGTCTAAAGTGTATATTTCTCATAGTATGGCTACGTTCAGGTACAGACCATATTCACCATTGGTTACGGTGGTAAGGAGCCTCTATGTTTTGGCACAAATGTTGGGGTTACTATTATATCTATTCTGGGTATGATAATGCATACTGCTCTCACTGGTATCGTCTTTGCCAAATTCACACTAGACAGTAGGACTATCAACTTCTCGCGAATATGTAGCTTGTCACTTATTAGATTCCAGGAATGTCGCATGTGCTTTCTCGACACGAATTCTGGCCATCCCCCCGCCATCTAGTGGAACTCCAACACAGTAGTAGGGATAGGTGCCTCCGTCGTTGCTGTTGAGAGCTGTTCATCGTGTATCACTATGTTGGGATTACTTTACAGTTTTCGCCTCGCAAGAATAAGAAAATTCTAAATAAGGAAGTAAAATTCTTCATCAGAATTTTCAGTTTTTATCGATTAACAGTGTTTTTTCAGTGGTGATGGTAACAGGGCTCCAGAATATGATGATGACCATCTGCGGTTATGTTTCCGTTTCGTCAACGTAATACGCAGCTTTCGGCATCTCTGTTAGGCTCAGTATATTTTGACAGGTTTTTCATCGTCACTTTTTTCACGTGAATATGCGGCTTTTCCTCGTAGAGCACGTCTCTGCAGGGGACGGGTGGAGCTCACCGACAGTGCAGGTATTTCCATACCACTCCAATTCGAACTTGATTTCCTTTGTGCGTAGGAGGTGCATTACTTTGATACCTCTATACCACTAGAGTTCATGAGTCTACCAGTGGAAGTATGTGCCTATATCCCACTAGATAGGCTTGTGCTTCTGGACGATGGCGATGACGATGATGATGAGGATGTCTCTGAGGGCAAGGGCTTTGGTACTTTACTTCACGAGGCGGATTTGACAGATCTGAATCGTTCTGCCGATGACGATGATGGTAGCACTGGTGGGGTGCGATGGGGCCAGTCGTTGGAGCCATAGCTACGGTACACACTTGTGGGGGTCTTCGGAAGAACTCCTCTAGGTTATGCTAATGGTGATGCTATTATGGGAGGTTTCTGTTCAGATCAGTTCAGCAATCGGACATGTCCATCGACAACGCGTAGACGACTGAATCGGGCAGCGATCAATCGATCAGCCTTCAACATGAATACTATCACTCTGGGCAGACAGAACTGGATCCGCCATTTTAGTGACCAGTACTACCGCAGGGGTATGGCTTGAGTACTGTTGACAATGGTGAACAGGTATAAACGTGCTGACGCTGATGTGAATGATCGAACACTACCACCCTTACCGAAGGGGAGCTCGCTGGCTTCGGCTAGGTCTCGTGCAGCGACCCATCCAGCCTGTGGGGTCTCTACTGGGGAGCTTCCTTCGTAATTATGGGGTATCTGGGAATAGGGGCATGCAATCTTACCTTCAACATATCTATATAGTTTCGGTGGAAAGCCATTTATTCTTACAAGTGTATGTTCGTTCTTGAGGGGGTGCTCTTCTCAGGCGAGTAGAGCGCATGAGGACTATCACGGGTAACAAGGACCAGTCTAGCTGCTTTGAATTAGTATGCACTATAGAGTTTATGGATGCCACTACAGGTGAGTCTACATTATCCCCACCAGGATGAGGAGTTGGAGCGGTATGATGTTGTTCGTTCAGGTAACAAGATCAATGCCAGGAAATCATGGTCTCTATCGGACGTCACGTGGATGCCAGCGGGCACAGACAGCACCTTATGCTGGGAGAAGATCGTGCAGAGGGTTGGTGACAATGGTTCGTATAATGTTGATGTACGAGGACAAGGCAATGTGGGTACGTTGGTGGACTCCCTATTCATTTAGGTTAGCAACTTGGATGCGCTGACTGAAGAAGGATGGGATCTCGCTGAGATGAACGGCACTGAAGTGGCCGAGAGTGATGACCACCCGAAGGTAGTGGATGCCCCTTCATAGTGTGGTATGGTTAGATAGGTGTATTGGTCTGGGGAGAAGCAAACGAGAGGGGATACACCCAACTCTGGAAGCCCCCCATCACGTGGTCGTACTTTCTCAGACTGGGGTATCGAATTTAGAGGCAGTGCATTGCCGATGGATAATAGCGAGTAGTACTATGGGTTGTTGGTCTATGGACCGTAATGCACTCATTGTGATACAGCATCATCGTGATGCTGTAGTAGTAGCTCTTATAAGGTCTATACCGCATGTTTCGACTTATGCATAGTCTTAACTACTGATACGAATGAACGATAGTGTGAATATCAATGGTTATCTTGTTTACTATATATTTCTGCACCTGAGATGAATCAGTTATCGCCGTGAATTTAGCTCTTCTCAATATACATTATTTGATGAGAATAAGGGTAGTCTCAGAAGGATTTCACTTTCAAGTTCCCGATTTTGAACTGGTAGAGTGGCACGTAACAAGAGGGTCATTTCAGGTTGATACGCAGTACAGAGT